TCAAAAAATATACCTTTAATTTTAAACCTGGCTTTCAGATTTCAGCTCCAGACCAGGGTTTCCACTAGGATTTTTTCTTGCCGGTCAAGTGTCCGGAAATAATTAATTTTACCGGACAAATTCGAAACTTACCGGTCATGTTTCAATAAGAATAATAAGAATTGTGTAGCAGAGTTTCCGTTAGCAGGTAATTACCGGACTATGACCGGATATGCTGATGTTTGAAACTCAGTTAATGGGGTTCATTTTTATATTGCTTCAGTTTATAATCGTAACAGATCGAAAAGATATACATTTTTCAATAAATGATACGCTTCCCCAAACAACAAACAACATAATTATTACATTCAAACAAACTACTTATAGTAGATGAAGTACATTATTCAAAAGTTTACATTAACTTTGAATAATAACACGGGAGAAACGGAGCCTCTCTTTTCCCCTCTCCCTCTCTCTCTCTCCTGACAGCCCGTCTGTATCTCATGCAGCTCGCTCGGGGCTTCAGGTGATCATGCAGAGCTGCGTGTCTCCGTCAGACTTGGCAGCTGATCTGATCTCTGATCCCTCTCTCTCGTCCGGTTATACTTCACTCGTGTTTATGTCCATATCGATCAGATCCAGCTCTCCTGATTGGCCTTTATAGAGAGCACTGATCAAACTATTAAGAGTGAATATCGGCCGATAATGATCGGCAGCAATCGATCGGAGCATCCCTAATTATTACCGGACATTTTGACCGGCAGGTTTTGAATTTACCGTTTTTTTATAAATTTTACCAGCTAAAAACCGGTAATTACCGGCTAACGGAAACCCTGCTCCAGACATGTATGCATATTATCACATGTTAAGCAAGATAATCAACAGGTGAAGTTTATTAATTTTGCCATACTCATCTGAAGTGTGAAGATGCATCAGTTGAAGGGGGTGATTTTATAAATGAAAGAATCACTTCAGAAAAAGCTAGAACTGACTCAAGCCTGTGTGACTCCTCCTGCGCTGTCTGAGGTCGGAGCGGGAATGTTTGTTCAAGAAATCTGACACTTCACTGCCAGATTGAGGACTTTTATTATCTGGATGTGTGTGCTTTTGTAAACAAGAACATATTTTAAAATGAACATTAATACTGAGAGGGGGAGTGAGAGGGTTGAGGCAGAAAGTGACCGAATACTATAGGAAGTGGCCGAGCATAAAACCTAATATTGAACATAAATCTTGAGTCTTGAGCCTGGACCAAAGGAAAACTGAAACAGCCAATTCTAAACCCAGCAGCAGGCAAAGAAAAGTAATATATTATGTCATAATTTGCATCAGCCAATGTCCTGACAGGTTGGCTCTTTCTTCAAAGGGAGCTGAGGTGTGTTGGATTTGTGTTCTTTGTAGTCCACAGCGCTGTCACGAAACAACAAAGAGATCCCCCCCATTCATTCAGCTATTCTCATTTATCCTTCGGTCTCCTTTTTCTGCTTTTTTCTTCATGGTCCAGTCGGCACTTGCACACTGCTCTTCAACCTGGTCTCCTCCCTGGCCATGTTCTGTGTGGACTCCTCGGGGGGAGTTGGCTTGGGACTAGCCATCCTTTGGGCCCTCCTCTTCGCCCCATGCTCCTTCATCTGTTGGTACAGACCCATGTACAAAGCATTCAGGTGTGTACCACCATCCCCATGAAAAAGCCCAACAATATAAAAAACATGCTAGCCCAACGCAGATTATGGCATAGCCCGTTAATTGTTTTTTAAATTAATAATTCGGTCTGTAAAATTATAATAAAATAAAAAATGTGAATCCAAGTTTCACAAAATCCTAGGTAATGTTTTCGAATGTCTTGTGTTGTCAGTTCACAACCCAGGAATATCAACTGTAATATCTCATAAAACAACAATGTCTTGTGATTATCCTGACCAAAGTATTTGAAATTCATTTAAAATGGCACTTAATTCTAATGGAATCACTTTAATTTTCGTTCAGTTAAGAAACAAATATTCTTTGTTGCATCACAGATAGGACCCTTATTTTTGTGTCAAAATCCTTTTAAATATTAAAACAAGCTCTATGTTTCACTTCTCTTTCTGTGATTTTTGTCCTCTAGGAGTGACAGCTCCTTCAATTTCTTCGTCTTCTTCTTTATTTTCTTCGCCCAAGTGGTCACCAACGTCATCATGACTATTGGTATCCCTGGATGGGGTTTCAGGTATACTTAAGCATATCTGTGTTGTACAGACACATGGCTCCTTTCAGTTTCTGTCCTCTGTTCATTTCTCTGTCTCACTGTCTCTTCTCCTCAGCGGATGGATCGTGAGCCTGGCTGCTCTAAAGACCAGTGTCCCCGTTGGTGCGATCATGATGATGAATGCCGTCTGCTTCACTGCCCAAACCGCCATGGGGGTCGTCATGCTGCAGAAGGTGAAAACAGAATATAACACATTTTACATGCAGTGAAAATAAACGGGTAGTGACTCAAATGTAGATTTTAATTTTGACACTAAGTACAGATTTGAAAACTCACACACAACTTGTTTAATATAATACAAGTCTTATTTATCCTGTCGTATGCTCACTACTTATCAATTACATGCAAAAGCTTACAATTAAAAACCTTGCAAAACGTTTTATTGAGCACTCATTCTGTGTGGTAAACTCTAGGGAAAAAAATATGGAAATTAGATTTGATAAATGCAAAATTTGAAATCCATATTTTTTAAACATAAATGCAGCACAATTATAATATATTTATTAACGGTAGGGTAGGTAATTTTGGAGAAACCAGCTCGAGTGCGCTAGAATTTGAAAATACACAACCGGAAAAAATCTGCCACTTCCTTACAGAGCCCCTCCTCCAACACACACGAACGCGCACATGACCAATGAGGGCACGAGATAAGTTTGTGCACAGATGGAAGGCTGACAGGCAGGTAGGCCAACCAGTTACTTTAGCCGGGCCGGCTAAAATGATTGGTCGTGCTTTTTACAGTACTACGGCTTCCACAGATGAAATTTTGTTATGGATTTTTTTGTCAAAGCACTTAAGATATTCATTGCTATCGGGATGTTAAGAGCATTCCATGGAATATAACAAAAAGTGTATCTCGAGCCGGTTTCTCAAACTTACCTACCCCACCTTTAATGTAAATTACTACAAATTAATAAGCGGAAGGACAAGTAGGTCTAGGTAAAAAAAATACTTAAATAATAAATGCTTTCATCAGGCTACAAACTAATGTTAGACAATTTGCACTATCTATCTCTCGTGGAAATACTTGCACCCATTGTGCCCAGGTGGTCCACCTGTCATGCAGCAGTCAGCAGATAACAAACAGTCTGAAGAATAGCCTCCATATCAGGTTCTGCGGATCATTTTCCGCCTCACAACGTGCATGATATGAGGATGAATTGCTTCATGTATCGGGTGTCAGCGTGCTATTGCTCTTCCCCTCTTTAGATCCACAGTCAGTACAGGCAGACCGATGCCAGCTTCCAGAAGGCCCAAGCCGAGTTCGCCACCGGAGTCATGTCCAATCAGGCGGTGCGCCAGGCCGCCACCACAGCTGCAACCAGCGCTGCCCAGGGGGCCTTCAACGCACCTCGATAGAGAGGCACGAGAGGGGCTGGGAGGGTGAGAAGGAGAGCCCTCTCACCTCGATAGAGGATCTCTTTGGTATTTATTTCCCCACAGGTGATTAGAATTGGTCTGTATAATTACCCCTGAGCATCTGGACTTCAGGGCTCATGCATGAGACAGGTGGGGTTCTCTAAGTTCAAAGGGTGTACAGGACAAGTTAGCTACATTGCCAAACTAGGAGTCAACAAATCACATTGTGTTGATTGTTGGAACGGAAAGATGATACGAAATGTGAAAAAAAATAAAGGCTGAAGCTGTATGAAACGTAAATGCAGGGAACATGCTTTTTTATGGAAGGACCAGCTGTGTGCCATGTAGGACAGTGTAAGCCTGGATAGTTGCCATTTTAAATGACCTGGATGTACATTGTGTTTACAAGGAGCCATGTTTGAGTTGGAGCTGAACACTGATATGATGCCATTCTAACAACTAATTTCTCTGTTGCTTAAGTGTAAATTAACATGTTTTGTTATTATTCCAAATAAGAATGCCTATTTACCTGTTTGCCAAATCCTGTCATACTGTAAAGATTATGAACTTGTGTTGTTTTGGTTTAAAAAATATCTGTCACTGTTCTGTTGGTGCTGCTTGTGGTTTTATGATTATTGTTACATGTCACTGTCTTGGTTTTAATAAACATATATTGTCATGCTTACTCACAACATACACTACCCTTATTATTGCCTTATCTAATTTACATGTTATAAACAGGATTATATGCCAGTATTGGGGCCAGGCATAAGGGGAATAAACCAGAATTGCAAGACATTTGATTTATTTTGCATTTGGAGATCAAAGTTGTAGGCCAATGTTAAGTAATGTGCGCACATTTAAATTATTCTCCAAATGTTGATGTTTTTTTCTCAAAATATATAGCAACATATTTTTTGTATGCCTGTCACAGAGTTCGACTTTTCAACAACATTTTCCCTTTATTCTCGACATGTTGACATTATTCTGAAATAACAAATTATGCTTTTCCTACTCTCATTCCCCCCCTTATGCTTGACCCTAATACACTTCAAGGTTCAAGGCTTTTATTATTATTAGTCATACGTACATAGCTAGTTTAGTTATGACGATGAAAATCTTTGATCACAGGCTTTTTGATATTGTATTTATGTTTTCAATCGGTCAAACAGACCTTTTTAAGCAAGTTTAGCATATTAGCTCACACTTTAACTGACATGTTGTCACTGAATTTGCGTTGCTGGGAGACTGCTTGTTAGTAGTAGCAGTAAAAGTCAGTTACATTTAAAAAAGTTTAACCCATTTTTTGTTTTTAAGAAGAGAACACATTCAACTACACCATTTGTTATTCTCTGGCGACACCCAACACACTTGAAGGAAACTGCACCCGTGATACAACAACGTGTTGCTCTTAAAGCTCTTGGCTTGTTTGGGCATCGTTGCAGGACAAAGGTAAGCCCGATTTACTAAGCCACAGATGAATAGTTTTATCTTTTGCAAATATTTCTTTGATAAACATGACAATGTGTGCTGGCTGCTCGGTAAAGATGTTAATGTGCCATCTGCAGCCGCGCTTCTGACAGGGACCCTCAGTGACCCGTCAGACAGCCGTGAGTGTGGGACTTTTATGGGCTTCCACACCGACGTCAGGCACCTCGCTTTACCGTGAAGATGGCGGAGGCTGCGGAGACACCACAACACCGTTTTTTCTGTCACTGCTGTAAAAGTGAAACAAAGCCCAAACTCCCGGTGAGTCACTTTGAAGAGTGTCTTTATTCCAAGGTTTCTGCTGGGGATCATTCACGCGGCCATCGACGGACGGATTAACATTTTAAAAGCTCTTTCTCTTTTAGAGACTCGTTCAGTTTACTGATATATTTGTTACCATCACAATTTGTATGATTGGAATCACAAAAGTACACACATGACAGCCTGTTGGTGGTTGTTTATGTGCGTAAAGCATGCGCCAGGATCTTACATTAGTAAGAGAGGGAGTGAAATCTGGTGATTCACGTTGCCATATTTAGCAGCAACCACTGTTGGCAACTCTCTGTGTCCAGTTGTCTTCTGTCAACTGCGAGAGAGAGGTAGGAGGGGCTGTCTGGGAGTTTCCACATGCACCAGGAGCGCTTTCCCCTTACTGTTACATGCCACAGAGCCGCAAATAGGTGGTGCCTTTAACCCCTGCACCCGGTTTGTTTTGTCCCCTTTTGTCTCACTAAAACCCGTCTGAGAGACACAACTTTACTTGGACTGATTTAGTTGGAGATTTATTTAATTTATTAAGTTGGAGGAAATCTCTATTGAGTGCATGTGTTGCACAGATGGCACACTTACGCACGTGTGTTTGTGTTTATATGCCTAAATGGCCAAAAGTTTATGGTGACCCCTATGCACATGAATTTGTATGCTATAAATTAATGATACTTTTTGGCATAGGGTAAAAGAGATTATATGTGGCACGTCCCAAGCCAGGATCATGAATACAGGGACTTTGCCATAACAATGTGCCTAGGCTATGCCCGATACAACAATGTATGGTCAATCATAATGACTTGGAATGATATGATATGTTAACACATAAATATGAGTGTCAACATTTATTTGTATACATATTTTCTCTTCGAGGATTTTGTCTGTCCCAGATGTGACTCTGACTTCATTGAGGAGGTGTCAGAAGACTCCAGGTACAGCTCGGTCTTGATGTATACATTCACTGTTCTTAAAGTTTACTCTGCTTGATAAAAAGGTTTTGAATCATGTTACCAAGTATTAAAATGCATGATGGTCACTGTAGTTAGTGCCAGTGCCAGTCATTTTGCATCACTGATTTTAAAATGTATTATTATTTTGCTGTTTAGTCTCCTGCAGAATAGTTCACCAGTGTCCAGTGAAGACTCAAACTCGTTGTTTTCAGAGGTATGTCCTCACATATTTCACTTACTTAACATGTACACTCCTCTTTCTCTAAGGCTTTGTGTGACACATTTATTGGCTCTGTTCCTCCAAGTTATGGCAGCTGCTGTTCATGGAGCGGTCTGCTCTGCTGTCCAATCCGCCCTCCTCAGAGTCGGACCCAGATGACAGCGAGCAGGTATCGTCAGGTCAGATCTGTCCCTCCCCAGTGACGCCAATCGCTGCTGAGGCCGCAGAACCAGAGTCTCCCTCCCCGTCTGAAGAGGAGAGGTCGCCCAGGCCAGACCAAAGGCCAGCAGTGGAAGGGTGTGTGGACACGGTATACAGAAAAAACACCATGTGCTGAACTCTGACTTTTTAAAAATCTTCAAGCATGCTTTTACATTTGACAGTTATTTCTCTCTTTTTATGTCTTGATTACATAAAAGGTGAGATGTAGAATGTCACTGTGGTTTGGCACATTATTCATTCATACATTTTTTATTAAAATCAAAGTCAACTTTATTGTCAATCCTCTGTGTTAACAAATAAATCAGAGCACCTGAAGGTTTTATACAATTTCCAGACAGTTTTTCATTGTGCAGATCCTCATATGGAATTGCTTCGCTTCAGTGATCAAACACTTAAATAGGCTCCAATACTTTATCTATTGTGTATAACATTTGACAGAGGAGAACAGCTGCATGCATCCTGGGTAAATCATAAAGGCGTGGCGTGAATTGATGCTGAATACAATATGTGTTGTGAAAGCAACCCAAAGCAAACATCTGCTTTCTGTTTGTGCCCTTTCAAGGATTGTGCAACAGTTCTTGACCGGCCTTTTTTCCAACAACGGAAACCCCGGTGCTGCACCAGCTGCCCTGTAAATGCTTTTTAAATGTTCGATTCACATCATTTACTTTGGATTTTCTCTAACATTGTGTGATAACCTCTCTCCCTCCCCCTTCTCTCTTGATCTCCTTATGCTTGTCTCTTAGATCTAGTATGCTACAGTTGCACTCAAACCCTGGAGATTATGCGTGGGGTCAAGGAGGTCTTGACGCTGTCATAACAGAGGTCAGTCATATTAGGGGAAGAGCTTTTTAAGCTTTTTGTTCAGTTCAAGCATGGTTCCCTTCTTTTTCTCCTTCCCTCTCCATTAACCTTTTAACATGAAACAGAAACCCCTCAAATTCTGCATCAAGATACAAACTGTTCTTTTTTTATCCGACTCTTTTGTGTGGACTCTGTTTCCCCTCTCTGCCCCTCATGTCTCCTCGTATATATCCATTCTCTTTGTTTCTTCTCCCACTCACCTAGTTGTTGGGACAGTTGGAGAGCACAGGTCCGCCCCCTGCAGAAAAGGAGATGATCTCATCACTGCCGACAGTTTGCATCTCTCAAGAACAGACAGGTAGCAAAGCACGGCATACCGCACACCTCTTTCCTTCTCATATCTTTTTTCCCTCATTCCTCTCATCTCTGTTTTTCTATCTCATTTTCTCCTCCTTTCTTCCCCTATCTCTTCTTGCCTTACCTTTGTTTCCTCATATAATTAATTTCCCTTGATATCTTTCCTTCGCTTGTTTTCCCTCTAATCTGTCCTCTCTTGTCCATCTTGTCAATTGCCTCTTTGCCCCCTCCTGTCTCTCATTTCCTTCACTTCTTTTCACGACCCTTCTATTTGTCCTTCCCTCCTTCTATAGTTACCTCTACTTCTTTCCTCCCACCATTTCTTTCCTCTTCCCAACTCTTCTTATGTCCTCTATCTTTTCATTTCTTTCCTTTCCTTCCTCCTACTTTCCTTTTATTTTAGGCTTTCCTTGCATTCTTTCCTTCCATCCTCCTTCCATTTCCTTACCTCCTATCTTTTGTTTCCTTCATCTTTTTTCTTTACCTCTTCCTTCTCTTCCCATTCCTAGTTAATAATGTTAATAATGTTTTACTGTCCTGGATGCTCAATTAGACTAAATTATATTAATAATATAGCTTCACTTATTCAAATAATCAAGTTGGAAGTACATTTAAATGAAAAAAGAAACAGAAATATAAAGAAAAGTAATATAAATATGGCAGTATAGAGCGTAATCAAGTTTTGTATAGTCCGGCACTTTTTCATGTTGTGCTAATTTGTGTGTTTTTGTAGAATTGTTTGAGCTTCTAAATATGTATTCAAACATCATCAAACTTTGTTACAGAGAAATTACAATTAAACATTATAGCAAAGCCTGTCTTGCACATTTGAGTAGTTATGAATCATCCCAAAAACATTGACTGGGTTTTTTGTTTCTACTCTCTATGTGTGTTTCTGTTTTTCTTGCACACTCTCATACTTTCTGTTTTTCTCTCCCAGACTGCAGACTGGAGTGTCCAGTTTGTAGGGAGGAGTATACATCAGGGGAGTCTGTCAGGAAGCTTCCCTGCCTCCATTTCTTCCACAGTGAATGTATAGTGCCTTGGCTGGAGCTGGTAAGGGCGATGAGTGGATGTGGTCAGTGGGGGTTTGAAGCCTGGTTAGATTTGCCATGGAGGTTTTAAGAGTGTCACACATCATGACTTCAGTGCTGTGATGACAACACAGAAGCATTTTTGTTACCAAAGGATTTCTCTGGTCTGACTTTTGCTTGTTCTTTCCTCTCCCTCTCACAGCATGATACCTGCCCAGTGTGCAGAAAAAGCCTTGACGGTGTCGACAACAGCCTCCCCCCCACATCAGAACCCCCAGAAGCAAACTCCATCATTCATTTAACTTACAGTAACATGAGGAAATAAAAAGTAGAACCAAGAACCATGCATAATAAACCACAATCAACTATAGTGAAACAGATACCTGCTCCTTCATAAAGTTTAATTATTCTTTCTTGTGTTTTCTGGAACGGAAACATATTAGCAGAACTGTTTAAATTGAATGTAGAAAATTCAAAAATGTCACTCATCCCACAGAAATACACACCTGCCTTAAAGTGGCCTGTTCATACTTGTATGGTCCTCGTCCTCTGAACTAAAAACCAACAACGTTACTAACTGGCAGCTTTTTGCCCTGTAAATAACTATTGTCTGTAACTATATTAAATCCTATGGTTTCAACAGCCCTGACCTAATACACAGTATGGTACTGTGTTCTCTTAAATCAGCTTTATGAATAAGTCATAGCCATAATACAGACTTATATCTGTGTACTGACCAATTTGGATGATTAATAAAGTCATTTTAATAAGCTAAATTATGAACACAGCTTTGGATTTGGTAGTTTTCTTTGATTGGTATGATAATACATTTAACTTTTTGAAAGTAAACTAAACAAAAGTTTAAAAGTTGAAGTCGTGGGTCAATTGTGATGGGCATTTTTTTTTTTTTACCACTTTCTCACATTTTATAAAATGAAAAACCATCGCACCAAAACTATTGATCATTTTCAGTTATAATTGTTTCTATTTTGTGACTGATTAATGATTAAAGCTTGTTTATAAATAAGCAAAACAATTGAAAATGCCTATCCCAAAACCACAAATTGAAACATTTAGCCTATAGGCCTACACATGTTTACCAATATGTATAACATATTATATAACCTGATCGATTAGTTGATTGATAATTTCAGCCTGACAGAACAGAACATCATATCCTTCTGGAGCTGATTTATTTATAGGCTGAAGTGCTCCCTCCTGTCTGTATAATACACTACATACAACATTATGTTGACACTCGGCGCCGCCACTTTGACAGTTGACTGTTGCATTCCAGCAAATGGCCCAAAACACAGCGCTCCGTGCAACCAACAAAAAAGTGAAATAATCATAAAAACAGACATTTTTTGTCAATGACCAGGGACCGCAGAAACCGCGAACGACGACCGACATTTGCTCTCTTCTCCTCCCCTCCGCCCGTCCTCCTCCTCCCTGACTCCCTCCCTCCCTCCCTCCTCTCCGGGACTGAGAATGCCCGTGTTGTACTGACACAGTAGCGATACGGGCTGAGTAGACATGGAGGCCCGATTAACGAGAGAGGCCCGTGCTGACACATCCAGGCCCAGCTAACGGTGTGTCGGACAGGATTTCGGAGCATCTCGGGAGTTTATTACGGATACCAGTCGCTGTAAGGAACAAGGATTTTAACAACGAGGAAGAAGGAATAGAAGAAGATCCATTTCGGGTCTCTGTTGATTCAACGCAAGCCGCCATTTTGTTGACAGTTAGTGTTTTTTTAATAACCTACACTGCGCTGCATCTATTATTTTCTAATCACTGGAATTTAACTCCCCGCATTTTTTACGTGTGTTTTTCTATCGATTTAAGTGTGCGTTTGTGTTTGAATACACGTCCGGAGGTTTTTCTGTCTTAGCTGACATGCTAGTGCATCGTTAGCCGTCGTAGCTGGGATGTAGTAACACGAGTGCCTACGAGAATGTGACGGAGATGAGAGATTATGTGCATCACTTGTCCGGGGCTGTGTCATATTCACTCGCTATACACTAATTGCTTGAATGCTGTAGGCGTTTGCTACTGATTTGCAGTTTACACACAGTGTAAATTAAAGCTGTGCTGGGCGGAATATGCCTAAATCGCCTTCAAACAGGCTGCTGATAGATGGCTAGTTAGCCGCTGCCAGTGCACAGACCGTCTATTATTGGACGGATTGTAGCTACTAGCTTGTTACAAAATAAACAAACCTTGCACAATGTATGGGTTATAATTAGCGCCGAGTAACCACGATATCCTCATTACGTCACCGCCCTGTCTGCTATTATCTTTAATATCATGGAAATTAATATTTTGGGGGGATGCTTTACATGGTGACACTCAGTTTAACCCATCGCAACTTTGGGTTTTGGAGGTGGCAAGGTTAACAATATCTATTTTTTGTTTGTGGCCAACAGCTCTGTGCTTTGGTTTCTGATTTGATTTCTGATTTGATTTGTGGCTGTGTTCAAGATTATTATTATCTTGTTATAACCTATTTGGCACGTTTAAAAAGACAAAACGTGCTGTGTTGTTCTAGCTTGAATACTTGGGACAAAAATACTCCCCTCAGGTTAGCTTTAGCTCATGGTGCTTGCATTAGATATATTGCGTTGATCATAGCTCAAATCTGACGTTTTTCATGTTTTGGTTTTTGGCAATTCAGCTCTTGGAAGATAAAATATGTGCCCCCCACGTTGATACACGCGAAGGGAGGACACAGAGCCAAATAATGTGAACACCGTTTCCGGACAATTACAAAGGTGAGTGAAAATCATCTGGCATATGAATAGGATTTATAGTTTACTGTTGACATAATGGTTTAAGAATCAGATTCCTCACTGTTAGAGTTAACATTCCCTTCATCCGATTTTAATGTTTAAGCACAAGTGAATTAATTCCCAACTGCATGCATTGCAGTGTCACTTTAACAGCTTGCAGAGTTTCTGAGGCCGGATTTCCTTTCGATTGACAGTAATTATGCGTATGACTAAACGGGAATGGATGTGCTGAGTGAATATGAGTACATTAAGGGTGATGCGGTCGCACATTCACGAGTTAGTGTTGACTGTACAGGAAACCGAAAGCAGATTTGGCTTGTGCAGCCCTCCTCAGGACAGCCACGTTTTCTGCGCAACATGAGGGAAAGTCTAATTAATTACAATGTTATGTAGAGTATTCTTAAGGACTAAATAACTGAAGGAACTTCTTCCGACTTGCAGGGTGGTGCTCTGATTGACACCTGTCACTCCGGTCCGATTTATTGCATCCTCTACTGCAATATTCGAGGTTTACACATCTTTAGTTTAAAGCCACGGTGTGATGGATTTATGTTAGAGCACTTCCGCTGTTTTAGGATATAAACTAATGTTACTAGTTAAGAAATGTGGCTGCTTTCCCCCCTGATCATGGATCTGTATCGGTTTTATACAGATGGAGTAAAAGCCCTGGATATGACACGGAGCTCTGAGGGCAGACGCCAGTCCTCATGTTGATGATGTGGGGCTGGGGGGTGGGTGGCGTTGGATACTATTGCCATGGCCAAAGGGAAATCAGCAGTTATGAACAACGTGTGCAAAAGTGAGGGAGGGAGTGAAAGGAGGGAGGGAGTAAGGGGAGGAAAGAAATGGGAGGGGGCGCGGGAAGTTGTTTACTACGTTCCTGCCTGCTCTGCTATTTCTTAAGGTTGAGGGCCTGATATTGATTATTGATTCTCCTGTTTTTCATTTGAATATCTGACTTTTGTTTTATATGCCGGTCGTTTTACTTAAACTTCTGGTTATTACTGTGAAGGTAAAGCAGACAACATACAGGCATGACTGATTTCTGTCTTTAAAACCAGTAGTTCTGTCATTCGGGTGTTTTGCGGTATGACTATAAACTTGATATGCCTGCAGTGCAGTGTAGTATTAACTTCTACTTAAATACTATACCTCCCAAACATGATAATGATATGCTTCAGTGTTACGGCTTATCAATCACAAATTAGAAAAACGGTTCAGCCCAGTGTCGGATCATTTACAGGAGAACAACTGCCAGTAAATATATCTGGTTTGGCTTGTTAGAGGTGAGAGGAATGTTTTTACTCCCCCGGGCGACTATTCTCTAGACTTGTGTCAGTAGCCTCTTATAGAGTAAGGTACTACAGTGGCTTATTTTTGGCATAGCTGCTGTCAGGCAGCGGAAGCAGCTAGTATCACTGCAAGCGCTTAGTATAAAAGAATGAGGAGAGCATTTGTCATTCTGTTGGAGAAAGACACCGGGAACAGAGTTAGGGGGGTTGGTGAGTGAAATGTGTTTTTTATTAAAGAAAGAGCACAGTGACTTTGTTAGTTTGTGTGCTGCTACTACTGCTTTCAAGTTTGCAAAATAAAGAAGGAAGAGGACGGAAAAGCTTAAAGAAAACTGTGAAAGGACACAGAGATTGATGGAGTGTTAGAGAAAAGAGGGAGGTGTGATCTGAGTGTGGTATGTGTAGTGAGGGGGAGTCTGCACAGCACAGTTTTGAGGCGAAATGGAGTGAGTAATTGAAGTAAACACAGAAAAGAGGGCGTGGGGGGGAAATACAGGCCAGTCTCCAAAAATCGGGTAGAGTTAACTGTGTGGTCCAACAAAAAAACATCAACTCTACTACTGTTTTCCACTGTCATCATCTAAAACAAACATTGTCTAAGACTCTTTGTAGGGCAGTTTTTTTGTCTTCTGCTCTGACACTTTAGTGATGTGTCGACTTGTATGACTTTCCTTTGGCTCCATTAAGTGGCTCCTTTAGTGCTCTCCACTAATGTAGGGCGCAGAGAAACCGCCGGCACATTGACGCTCTATCACTCACTCTCAGTTGCTGCTGGCGAGGGCTGGGAAAGGCGGCCGGATCCTCTGTCTAGTCCCAGAGGGCTCAATGTGCTGAGGTCACAGTTCTGAATTGCCTCCAAATGACTTCACCCGGAGAAAGCACCTGCTTGGGGGCGAATCCGCATTAAATCACTCAGTGGCCACGGGGAGCTGTAGACAACTTTATTGAATCGGACTGTCCTCCAAGGAGCACAATTAAGGAACATGCTTCTCTCTGCTGCTGCTGTGCTAACATTGGGTATGAGCACTTTGCCACCATCACAGGCACCCAGTTCACTCCAACTAATGAGGGACTTTAAGGGATTGCTCAGTTGGCATCTTATCCTGTAACACCTCGTAAGGATGTGGCAGCACTGTGGAATAAACTATTGACTTTGGACATTAAGGGCTTAGTGGACAATTCAGTCCTTGAGCCTAAAGTTAAATATTTCAGGTAGGAAAGCTTCAGCTTTGTAAATAGGTCACAGAATGTTATAGGCGCTGAGGACGTACACTTCATAAAAACTGACCCAGACAGGATGAAGGACACCCTCTAACCAAATAGATGATAAAACTGTTTGCCCTCTGTCTACGTTTCCAATATCATTCATTATAAGACATTTTATACTTCTTGGTTGCCGGGCACGGTTTAAAGCTGTCAATGTGTGGTTGATGTCCTGTGTTGTTGTGCCGATGACTAATGTGATTTATTTTTTCACCCTCCCTTTTCTTCTCTCTCTCTCTGCTATACCTGTGTTTACTCTGACAGTTGAAGGACGGAGAAAGAGGGCTGGACAGCCGAGGAAGGGAGAAAAGCCACTTCAGAAGAAGGAGAGCTTCACCTTCAACGTTATCCCCTCCCCCCTTTCCCCCTTAACCCCTTATCCCAACCCCCAACAAAAACTCTACCTGGTATCCACAACATCCCCTCCCTAGTTAACCTGCACACCCTGTAAAGTTGCGATGGATCCGAAAAATCAGATGGGAACTACAACGCCACCCCCTCTTCTCTCAGGTGTTTCCTCGGGGGAGCGAGAAAAGGAGGGAGGGGGTGGAAAGAATGAAGAGGAGGATGAGAAGAAAAGAGACAGGGAGAAGGAGGGAGCTGTCACCGCTGCTCCTGGTCCTGGAGGGGCAGGAGCAAGTGGGCCAGGAGGCGCCGGGGGTGACCAGTCCCATTTCTCCATCAAAGAGAGCAGCCTGTCCGAGGGCAATGTCAAACTTAAGATCGGCCTTCAAGCAAAACGCATGAAGAAGCCCCCTAAGATCCTGGAGAATTATGTGTGCCGACCAGCATTCAAGGCCACTGTGAGGCACACGGGCCGTGGAGGAGGCGGTGCTCGTGGAAACCGTGCAGCCGCTACAGGTGATGGGGCAGGCGTTCAGAACCAGAGTCCTTCAAGTGGCAGGGGAAAAGATAAGGAAAAGAGTCCAAGTGTCAACAAACCAGCCTCCTCTTCTTCTTCAACCCCCTCTGCTAAAGCTCCCACGCCACCACCTCCTGCTCCTCCTCCCACCAGCACTACCACCCTGTCTGCCTCCCAAGTGAATGGGAGCGCTCCGACAAAAAGGGTAAGGCGGGAGAACATTGTCATTATATGTAGTTATCACCAGAGGCTTCTTGTGTAATTGTAATGACTTTTTACCGTAACGCTCAGTATTGAGATAACTTGTATTGCAAATTTGAGATAAACTTTTTCAACATCTGCCTTCAATTTAGTTATTGCTGCAAAATTGGATTGTCAGGAAGACAAACTCATTAATGTTGCATGTACTGTAGCTGACCACTGAACTGTTACAGTATACATAGTTCAACATAACTGAAAGAAAACATTTTTAAACGAATGAAGTGGTATTTTAAACAATGCAACTTGAACAAAAAAGATTTGCAGCATTTCAGAAACTGTTAAATAAAAAAAAGAACTCTTAAACAAAATGCAAAATAAAAATAAAAGTCCTCCTGCTGGCTATGGAAATTAAAATAAAATATGTTTTATTATTTCAGTGAAAGAACGTCAGATACTTGGTGACTAGTATCAATACAATGTAGTATAGTTATTATTTGTACATTTACCTTACTTCCTTAAAGGGTTATAAGTCAGTCTTGATTAGGTCAGTGGTCCACAAAAAGTTTACCATAGTAATTACCATGTTGGTGCACAGATAAAGAGTGGAGCATAAATTGTTCTTTAGTTTTCTTTGTTTTCTCTGTTGGCCTGTCCCTATTTATCATGCCACTGCCCCCACTGTCCCTCCGTCTGTGTCTCTGCACGGCCATACCCTCCCCCCTCCCCTGCATGACCCCCTCTCTGTCTGTCCCGCTCTGTCCCCAATCTGACCCTGATAAGTGTTATTGAGTTGAGTCTATAACTTCCCCCCTGGGCATGCCCAGGGAGCTGCAGACAGAAAATCTTATCAATGAATTGCAATACTATAGAAATCTATTTCTGATTAATAGATTGTACTCCTAGGTAAAGGTCAGATGTGTTAGGTTCAGTAATAGCAGTTCACTATAGCAGCCTTCAATTTATGGCACCTCAAATTTGTTTTTGGGTACTAGCATATGACTTAAAAATGTGTTCCAGTGTTTTGATAAAAAATACGATATACGTACATCAATACAGTCTATTTAAAAAATGTCATTATTAAATATTTCTTCCCAGTTACCTACTATTTGTTCTATTTGTTCTAGTTATTTTATAACTTGTCGTCTCTTCTTTGTTTTTGTGCAGGGTTCACCAAAGACTGATGGCAAGTCTGACACAAAGCCAGACACGAAAGCAGCCACCACCACATCTGAGAGACCCCTTAACCTTCACCGCCCTCCATCGGACAGCAAAACCCATCCCTCTGGGAAGAAAACACCAATTCCCCAACCCAACCCCCGGACATCTTCACCTTCTCCATCACTACCCGCATCTAAAGAACCCAGCTTTGAAGCTGTCAAACCTCCTCAATACAACTTCAGCACTGAAAATCAGAGAGACAAGGAAAAGGGTGTTCCAAATTGGGGAGCCCCCACAGTCACTGAGAAGTTAGCTCAACTCATAGCAACTTGCCCACCATCAAAGACCCCTAAGCCAGCTAAACCCACAAAGATTGACCCCGCTCCTCCTCTCCCAAACTCAGGCTTTATGGCCCCGACAGCGAAGCAACGAGACAGGGCTATGGCCAATAGGAACACATATTCAAGAATGTTACATCTTTCCCCACCACCTCCTGTGTCACGGCCACCTGGTCGGCCCTATGGTTCTAGGAACAAAGACAATGGTATGGACAATTCACCCTCCCTGACACCTTTGAGGACAGACGAGACAGAAGGGGCTGGGAAAGCTAGTAGCAGCAGCAGCAGCAGTCGCAGCAACAGTCCAGCACTCGCGTATGGGAATAACCGCCTGTCGGCTATGTCAACGGACAGCAACAACGACAACATCAACAGTAGCATTTCTAAGTCACAGTCACGCCCGGCTCACGGCCAACCCCATAACACGTCTTCGCCAGCTTGTCCCATTTCATCCTCTTCCAGCACTTCAGCTGAGCAAAGGACGTTGAGTGCAGTGAATCACCTGGGCTCCCCTGTTCCTTCACAAGGACACCATGCACGAGAGAGTCCTACCTTGGCAGAGGAAAGCAGTGCCAGTGAGAGAGAACAGGACAGCGACAGCCCCAGGGACTTAACCAACTGCCCTCCTGCAACAGGAACAGGAAAGCCAGAAGGGAAGGACAGGGGGCCTAGTAATCAGTCACTGAGAGTTGAGAAGAGCTCTAGTCCAAGTAAGCGCAGTCCCAATCGGGATAGTAGCCGACCCGGTCGGACTATTAGCCCCCCTGAGGCTGCAAGACATAGGGCGTCTTCTTCACCAGAGCCAGATGGTGATGAAAGCCCACTAACACCTCTGAGAGATGATTCTCCAGATTCATCCATAGACTCTTCAGCGGAGCAGGACAACAAACCCCTTAAAAAACGCAGGGGAAGGAAACCCCGCTGGGGCCGTTTAATGAGTGGGATGCATGAAGGAATAGCAGGCCACGACAGTCCCTTTGAAGAGAGACAAACTGACTTGCCTTTATCTTTAAGCTTGGAAATGCCGTTACCGCCGGTTAAGAGACCCGTGGGCAGGCCTCCGAACCCAAATAAGGTCAAACCAAATCCTGTGCCACAAAGTCAAGGGTCACAGCTCTTTGCACCACTGGCAAAGAAAAGAGGAAGGCCGAAGTCCAAAATGCCAAGGCTTGACGCTCCGGCCCGTGGTTGCCTTCCTAACAAGCTGGCTCCCTCCAAGGTCTTTTCATCTTTACTGAAGTCCAAAGAAGAGCAGGATCCCCCTGTGCTTCACCCAGAGGTGGACCTTAACCCCCCTAAACCTATGCCTAGAAAACGTGGACGCCCAAAGCGCCTTCCCCCTACCTTACCCCAGGAGGGTCAGCCTCCAACGTTGGCTCCAGAGGCCGGGGAAATTGGAGAAAAACGGTTCCGGAGCAAAGGCAATGGGCAGCTAATCATGAAAACTATTATAGGCAAGATCAATAAAATGAAAAGTATGAAACGGAAACGTATTCTCAGTCAAATCTTGTTAGGCCCAAGACCAGAAGACTCGCCTAAACCCAGTACGGTTGTTGGTTCTGTGGAAGCTACAACCCAATCATTGTCCTCCCTTGCTGCTTCTTTTGGGGGGAAACTAGGGCCACAAATTAATGTCAGTAAAAAGGGTACAATATACATGGGTAAGAGGAGAGGCCGTAAGCCAAAATCGGGGTATAACGCCACAGCTTCAACACCACCACCAGAACCCTTCTTATCCCCGAACACCACTTCCCCTCTCCATCACCATCATTCACAAGTCTTCCCCTCCCCCTCCCTCTCACAGTCTAGTGGGGGCCACAGTCCCATCAGCGATGCCAGCTTTGTGGAGCCCGGTTCTGTGCACTTTGCCAGTCACTCTCACTATGCTAACTCCCATCATAGCCACAACACATTCTCCTTCCCTCCCCCAACCTTTTCGGCCCCTAATCCACGCAACCCAGGGTTGGGCTCCACATCATCTATGTCCACAGTAGCTTCACAGAAAAAGGCATCTTACCGCGGATACCATCACCACCACCACAACCATTACAGGCAGCACTACCATTATCCTAAGCTTTCCCCTCCCAGGCCGCTCCATCCTACCTCCCCTGCCCCCCTCACTGAACTAAAAGAAGCCACTCCGTCACCAGTCAGTGAGTCACATAGTGAGGAGACTGTGCCCAGTGACAGTGGTATAGGAACGGACAATAACAGCACCTCTGACCGGGGTGAGAAAGCAGGTGGCTTGGGTGGTATTGGGATGCCACACGGGATGGGCAGTAAGTTATTAATGCCGGGGGTCATCAGTTCAGCTGTGGGTCCAGGGTTGGGCCTTAATTCCAGAGGCAGGCGGCGACACTCCGCTGTGCTTTTGGACCGTCCCTCTCCCTCTCCATCACCACACGGGGTGGGGACATCACCCGATCCCAGGAGACCTCACCCAGCAGCTCCAGCCTCCTCCTTAATAGGACACAAGGAGAAACATAAGCACAAGTGCAAACGCCGCAGCCCACGGTGCCCCGGCTACGATAAGCTAAAGAGACAGAAAAGGAAACGCAAGAAGAAGTACTTGCAGCTGCGCTCCCGGCGGCACGACCCAGACTTTCTTGCTGAGCTGGATGAGATTGTTGTGAGAATTAGTGAAATACGGATAGCACACCGTACCACAGGACACCGGCTCGGCAGTGGAATAGGCATGGCAGCAGGAACAAGTAGAGGGCCAGGAGTGGGGAGCAGGCCTGGTGGGTTAGGAGGCACAGGCGGCCCTCCACCTCATCATTATGTTCACAGAGACATCCTGCCTACAATCTTCAGGGTTAACTTCGGCAGCTTTTACTCCCATCCTGCATACTCTCATTGCGACCCATTGCACTATGTTCGTAAACCAGACATGAAGAAGAAAAGGGGGCGGCCTCCCAAAATGAGGGAGTCCATGTCTGATGTTCCCTTTTTACCTGGGCTTGGATTCCCACTCTCCAGCGGGGGCTTCTACCACCCCTCCTACAGCGTTCCCTACTCCTCTGGGCCTCTGGGTTTGGGCTATTACAGAGGCTTTCCTCCAGCTAGTGCTCTGTATCCCCACCCACACCACCAGTCACCACACACAGCCCCCTCCCACCACTCTCACCACTCACCCTCTTTCCCCCCTCCTCCCCCCACATCTTACATGCATCATCACCACCCTTCACATCTCCTACTTAACCCCTCTAAATTTCACAAGAAAAAACATAAGCTGCTTAGGCAGGAGTACCTGGGAGGAGGAAGGTCCCCTGTCCTGTACCCACCCATGTCCTCTGAGCTTTCCTTCAACTGGCACCACAAACACAAACACAGACACAAACACAGAGAGCGCTGTGCGGAAGAGGACAGAGAGGAGGCAGCAAGAGGAGGATCAGGGAGCCGGGCTAGTGCAGGGATTTCTGACAGCGGAGCATCAGGGAAAGCAGAGCGAGTTGGCAGTTTAGGAATGGCGGAGTCTTTACAACGATGCCGCTTTGGACGGGACACAGCCAGCACCAGTGCCAGCAAGCAAGCTGCTTCTACTTCCGCCAACTCCCCTTCTTCTTCCTCATCCTCATCTGCAGAAAGGTACAAGCGCAAAGAGAGCTCCATGTCCTGTCTCGGCCCCTCAAGGCTCGCACTGGGTAGCAGCTCAAAAGGTCACCATCCAGTAGAGTCCTGGTTCAGGATGGGGGGCAACTCTAAGGCAGACTACTCTAAGCTTTCACGAAGTCAAGTGTCACCTGGCCAGGGTCCCTTCTCAGAAGGACAGCCTGAAGACCCCGCAGGCTGCTCAGACAGTGAGGATGAGGAGCCTCTCAGCCCAGCAGTGGATTTAGAGCCTGGATCCCATGATTCTCCAAACCTTACTAATCTTTTTGCCTCTGCTCTCACCCGCACTACACTGAAGGGGGGCAAGTGCAGAAAGACTGAGGCAGTCACAGAGAGCTCGAGCTTCTCCCGCGTGGACCGACCAATAAGGAAGGACCGCTCGACGTCAGCAGAAAGGAGAGACTTGGGTAAGTCTAATTTGTACTGAATTCAGTTGTATCTTTATTAATGTGCTGCCTACATTAGGGCATTTCATGATGGAATTTAATATTATAAGTAACAGCAGCATCTGCATTGCTAATTTTCAATTAAGAAAAGGCTGTATAGGATGCACTAAGAAAAGCAGCAGGGAGCTATTTGCTTTCATTTGTTCTTGGATATTCCAGTCAAGTATGGGATGCATTGCATCCTATAGAGGTCATACGCTTTTGCTCACGGCAAATTACATTTGCCATTGTTTAGGGTTATTGGAGTCAATTTTGCACCAAATTTGTTTTCCAAAACTAGTTCTGTGCATGCAGTTGTATCAAGAATCCTGCGGCTGAAGTCGGATGAGCTTTATGCATGGGCTCAGCTACGATGAAACTGGCACTGTGTGAAATCAATTATATCCAGCACTAGTTCCCGGACTATGTATTTGGGCAATAACCGTTTTTAGACATTGCCATATGGCACAGCAAGCGGGCATTCAGATCTTGCTTGATCTCGGCTCAGTGAAGCCTGTGTATCTTCCGAAAATCCATCATACTACTGAGGAGTTGCGTAGTGGTTACAGTTGGAACCAACCAAACTTCAGCCGTGGTTAGATCAAACAGCACTAGATAATGATCTGCTCTGGATCTACAGCCCTCCCATCTGTACAAAGAAAATACTAAGTGGATTGGGCCAGTTATTACAGTAAGAGAAAAGCTCTCTTGACATCCCCTGTGCATACACTGTCTGACATTTGGTAGCTCTTACTAGTGGTTACAGGCTTGGCAACAAAAAAAGCATGCGTAATGACTTAAACTGGCTCCTCTGTGAGTGTGGATGGCCACAGTTGGCCACAATTGATATAGCATTCCAGCCAGAGCAAAAGGGGTGGAGTGTTTTGTTAACATGCTATATTTAGTAGACATTTCCATCAAAAGCCCACAATGTAAGGCCTGGTCCTGTACTTTAGTACACCCAGCACCTGGGCTGAGCTAATGTTGCAGATTTAAGACACAGGGTCTCAGCAATAGTCTTTATCAGTGTGTCCCCTGGCAAATACTGCTGTGCTTGTCTCTCTGTGTGTGTGTAAGCATTTGTAGAGTGGGTGTTCGTGTTTATGTGCATGTTAGTAAGCAAGATCCGTTTAGGAGGGATGGGACCATTAAGGATTTTACTGCAGATTGCAATAAAAGCTGGTTGATTGTATCGAACTATCAATATTCTCACAAGTAACTTGAAAAAGCCATCTTGCCTGCTATCTTGGTAGAGAAGGGAAAAATAGAGCCTCATTACAAAACAATCTGAAATGATCTTGTATGAAAGACACAGGCACATTTTTTATAACTTTCTATTTATTTGTTTGTTTAATTTATGTATTTTTAATTATGTAGGCGGACCTTATGTTTAGTTGTATCTGAAATGCAAAAAAAAAGTTATAAACAAAAAGTTATTTCACTATGTTTTAGTGCCATTTTAATAGTTTAAAGCATATGTTGATGGTTATAAGGATTATATAGCCATTTCAGTTACTTTGCAAAGAAAGCCATAACATGAACATTTTATATTGTCTCTTTCCTAGCTGTAAAGTACCCAGTGAGGCTGAATGGTGCAGTTCAAACCACGCCAGGGTAATCCTGGATTAGAGCTCAGGATTTAGGGTCAACCAGCGGTCGCGTACTGGAATGGGAGAGTAGGCCATGGGACGGTGTTAGAGGAGATGATGGAGGTAGATAGATGCACGCTGACTGAGGAGTATTAGTTGAGAGTGAGAGTAAGGGGGATAAAAGGACTGTAAGAGGATAAGTTGCAGCATTAAAGAGCAGGTGTGAGGTTTCCATCCAAATGTTTTTGAAATTTCAATAATAATAAAAGTCTGTTTCGTTATTTACTGTTACTGCTTTTAATATTCAACCTGCATGATAACCAATCATGATTACAGGCCAAGGCATTTTCATGTCTTTCTGCGTTACACATTATTCATAATACATGTGCAGTGATTATCTTCTCTTTTTCTTTGACTAGGGTCATCAGGTATCCAGTCAAGAGGCATTGCCCTCTCGCCCCCTGAAGGGCCCGAAGGATCCATGCACCACCGGCAGCAGCACCATCACCAACCTTCACTTTTTCACTCGCACAGCTCTGCCTCCTCCTCCTCCTGCCTCTCCCCCTCTCAGGACTTTTGTCTGGATGCCTCCCTGCCCCACCACTCCTATCGAGCACAGCCCTCCAAACACAGCCTGCACCACGTCAACAAAATCCTGCGTGCCAAGAAGCTGCAGAGACAAGCTCGTACAGGAAACAACGTGGTGAAGAAGAGGGGTCCCGGACGTCCTAGGAAACACCCCTTACCATCCCCGCCGCCATCCCCCCCACCGGTGGTCGAGTTGAATCCGACCCGGCAAAGGGACAGAGGGGCAGAGCGGCCAGTGGGGGGGCGAGCGTGGGAGGAGGACACTGTGACAGAGGCTATTGAGTCAGTAGTCCAGGGCCAGTGCAGGAAAAGTCAGAAGAAGAAGCAGTGGGACGGAGGAGAGGATGAGGAAGACGAGGAAGAAGAGGAGGACGGGGAGGTAGAAGAGCCTGAGGAGCGGTTGCCAGATAGAGAGGAGAACCTGGGCAATCTGGCGGCGAGGTCCAAAGCTGGGACAGGAAGAAGCTGGCTTACTCAGGAAGAACTCCAGCAATTTCGTGGGTATGCAGGTTTTCAATCCTCTAGGGCTGCTCGATTATGGCAAAAATCATAATCTCGATTATTTGGGTCAATAATTGATATCACAATTATTAAAAAACGATTATCTATTTACTTTGAAAACATCCATTTATTTAAAAAAAAAATGTGAACAGTATGTTTTTAACAGTTGATTACCCTGAACTTTAAGTATAATTCAACTGAAAAACCAAAAAAATAAATCAAAATCAAAATAATTTTATTTCGATTATGTTGTTTTCATAATCTTTGCAAGCCAAAATCGTAATTGCGATTAAAATACGATTAATTGAGCAGCCCTACCTAGTACTGACACAGATTTACACTGAGTATACGAAAGGCAACATATATGAAATCCAGTCGCCACTTGAAACCTTGTCATGGTTCTATTTTAGCTCAACGGAAAGCAAGCCAGATGGCCACTGCTCCCCAGAACCCCCAGCGCCCGTCCCCGAGGAACAAGCTCCGCCCGCACCCATTATCACCCAACGGGAGAAGAGACCAGCCAGACCTCCAAAGAAGAAGTTTCAGAAGGCGGGACTTTACTCGGATGTGTACAAGTCCGAAGAGTGAGTTTCTAAGAAATCCTAAATCTTCTGATGTTTATTTTACATGTCAATGCACCAGTTTAACTTAAGTAAAACTTTTTTTTAACATTTCTGTTCCAAACCATGCAGCCCCCGGAGTCAGCTCCTGCAGCTAAAGAAAGAGAAGCTGGAATACATACCTGGAGAACATGACTATGGATTGTTTCCGCCTCCAATACATGTTGGTGAGTCTGTTTTTTAATATACCTGACAAGTCAAAGATATTTTATTTTCTGGTGCCTTTTAAAAGTTTGATTGTGTCAGTCATGTTGCTTTTTAAATAACTTTAGTATTTTACTTTATATTAAAACCTTTTATACAATAATTTGCGTTAATGTCAATTAAATTATGCTGTGCTTTACCTAATCTATTTTCAATTCAATTTCTGTTCATTTATCTTCACAAGAATAAGTCCTAAGTCCTCTATCCTATATATTTCTTATACACTACCTAACATTGTCTATGTCTGGCTGGTTCTGCATCAGGCCCGTTTCTTGTAATGGCCTTCCTGCCAGCTGTGAGTAGGATTTTGACCAAGTCATTACCCTAATTCAAAACCACTTCAGTTATATTGCCCATGGAACACAATATAACTCAATGGAACACTTATTGGAGTTTAAATATCCTAAAACCTCATTTAATACTGAATTCACTCTTTTCCAGAATGGCCTATTTTGGGGCTAATCCAAAAGATTGATGCATGATTTGCATCTGTTTGGCCACATTGCCTCCAGAATGTTTGTTTGCTTTTTATCTTAGGAGTAGTAATGAAACAATTTAGATTTTTCCAATTAAATTCTCTCCATTTATTTGAATGTGGGGATGTTTGTGGTGCTGCTGTGCATTTATTGAATTGCCAGAAAGCGTTATATACCAAGATGTACAGTATATTGCTATTGAGATATGAAAACTATTGGGATATTAGATCTTTTGCCATATCGCTAGACCTACTTTACCACTGGATGATTTCCTAACAGTGCCTCCTCTATTCATCAGTTTTGTTTCTATGAGCAGAGGTAAAACATTGGCTCTTCATGATGTTTGATTAATTAACAGTTTTGCTGACTAAAAGCCCTAACAGCTCTTTCTACTTTAGTCACCAAGGGCTTCTGGGCTTACTAATCAAAACTATACAGATTACTCAGTAAACCTGCTTCTAGGAACAGGACCCTCGCCTTTACAGTCAGCACACGCCTGTATTTACAGCTATGATGGGTGAAAACCCCCAAATGTTTCATCAAGAGTCTCATTTTCATACCGGTTTTGATTATAAATGTGATTCGCTTAGCTGTTACGGCCCGTCCACTAAGCAGCGTTAAAAAAATCTTGGAGGTGGGCGTATCTGAAGCTTGGGGAATTTTTTGCGAGCAAGGCACCAACAACCAATCACATGAATCCCCCGTCCCCGACATACAAAGCAAAAAAGCCCGAAGTAAACTGGATATAAACTCCCCAAACAGGCGAAAACCTACCACTGTCTCTGCCACCTCCCTCCATGCCTGGCTCCTCCGGTTTATATCCCGGTAGGTCTGGTCATAAAGCACCGGGTGATTCCCTACCGCTAATTTCTCCTCCATTTTTTGGAATATGAGGAAATGACCTGTGGTATGTCTCTCCCAGCATACACGCGGTTTGATTGGCTAGCGTCAGATTTGCATACACAGGATTTGATTGGCTGACGCTTCCACCTCAGCTTCAAAAGTTGAACATTGCTCAACTTTGAATCCTGAAAATCTCCGCTCTGCTGCCCACAATGCAGTTCGGCGCAAAGTGACGTCACCTCATTCAAAGTGAATGGGCAGAAGCGTTCCAAGATTTTTTTTAACGCTGCTGTGTGGACGGGCCGTTAGGGGTGTAACGGTTTCAAGCAGAGACCGAAAACGCATCTTTTGTGGTTCATTTAGATAATTTAATTTATAAAGATAATCTACTAAAGTGTTTTTGAAATGTTCTTGTAGTGGATATTATTAAACCCAGAAACTCCCTAAAAAAGAACAGTGAGGCCAACATTTTAGTCTGAACCAAACTATGGACTTTAAGAATTGTTACACCCCTTGTATGTTTGGTCAATCATTGCTTCCCTTTTCTTTTATGTTTCAAGTTTATTTCTTCCTCTCAAATTTGCCCTGCTTTGTTTTTTCAGGGAAGTACCTGAGACAGAAGCGCATTGATTTCCAGTTGCCTTACGACATCTTATGGCTGTGGAAACACGATCAGGTGATAAATCACATCGTGTCATGTTTGGTGTTTTTAGGGGTTTCCCATGCTCACAGTCAATTACTGATAAGTAGTTTCAAAATGTACAGGCCCACCTACATGTTGGTTTCTGTCTCTGAACCCTCTTTGTTTTTCTATTTCAGCTTTACAAAAGGCCGGATGTCCCCCTTTATAAAAAGATCAGATCAAGTGAGTATCCAGAGTTTATCCAGTGATTCGGACAGAATGTATTTTTTAACCTTAATTGATTTATGTGCTTGCATTTCTTTGTTTTATTGAGTTTGTTACTTTCACTTTTGTGGTCAGTGTTATCCATTATATGCATTGTTTTTGTAAAAAAAAAAAAATGTTAATATTAATACAAATTCCTGAGAGTGTCAATAGCTGTAAATGTATAATGATAATCCCCCATTTATGTCACAGATGTCTATGTGGATGTGAAGCCTCTCTCTGGTTATGAAACAACAACATGCAACTGTAAGCCGCGTGAGAACATTAATGATAAAGCCTGCCTGGATGATTGTCTGAATAGGTAAGAAAATAAATCAAAGCATATAGCGGCCACTATTTGATGAAGAAAGTCAATATTTGTTCGAGAGTGTTGTTGAGACATTGTTTGTTCGATAATGAAACCTTAATGAAAAGAAAGTAAACAGGGTATCAAGAGTCAGCCTCATTTCACTGCCTTTTCCCCCAGGATGAGTTTTGCTGAGTGCTCTCCCAGCACCTGTCCCTCTAATGATCAGTGTGACAACCAGCACATCCAGAGACACGACTGGGTCCAGTGTCTGGAGCGATTCCGGGCTGAGGGCAAGGGCTGGGGCATCCGCACCAAGGAGTCACTTTGCTCTGGACAGTTTATCATCGAGTACCTGGGAGAGGTGGTTAGCGAACAAGAGTTTAGGTGAGACAATCTTGTCACGTAGTCTACAATAAATTCTGTCTGTTTCTTCTCTATGTTCAGGACGTTATTTATCCTGCCATGGAAATAAATTAAAACCTCTTTTTTAATTTTCTCTCCCACCATATTTTAGGAGCCGTATGATGGAGCAGTACTTCGCCCACAGTGGCCAGTACTGTCTGAACCTGGATAGCGGCATGGTGATCGACAGCTACAGAATGGGCAATGAGGCGCGCTTCATCAACCACAGCTGTGAGCCCAACTGTGAGATGCAGAAGTGGTAGGTGTCATGGCAGATTTAAACCAGTTCCCTCCTGATCTCCCTTTGTTGCTTTTGGGTTCTCTCACCAAAGCACATTTTTGACGAAACCCTTTAAAGAATGGGCATGTCCAAGTTGAGGACGGGTAATTGAGCCAGACATGGTATGTACTTTACAGAGCAGATATGTACGCTGTAGCGGGCAAATACATTTGAACAGAATGTGTATATTCAAAGATTGTGTTGCAGAGATATATCTATTGAAATTAGCTGCCTGATTAGCCCCAGCCTGTCCTGTCTTGTAATACCAATCGTGGTGCCCTGAATCCAGAGAACGAGGAAGTAATACATCCTTTGACCTTTGCATTTTAATAGTTTAGTATCTAATAATAGTAGAGGTGACATGCAGCCCTATATCTTTGGAGTTCGTGGCCAGGTATTAAACATTGCGCTTTTTAAAATTCCAGCGTTGTTTACACCCATGTTTATTATCCTCTTCTTCCCTATCTTTGTTGGCTTATATCAGCGTATCTTATTGTGTTACCTGTTAACTCAAAAAACAACTCTGTGGCTTTAGTAGGGGTCCTAAAACTCCACAGGGAATGTTTAAGGACTGTGAGGGACATCAACAGTCACACACAGTATATTCAAGAGGGAGTGATAAACAAGTGAAGCCGAGTCCTGCTCAGTTGTGAGAGTAGAGTGAGAAAGCTGATTGGAAAACGTTCCAGCTTGATAATTCAGCGTTTCTTTTTCTAAATGCTTCCGCCACTTACGGTTAACGAACTGGAAAATACCAGCCTATTACCTAAATAGTTTCAGTTAATTGCTATTTGTTTGTGTGCCTGGTGATTTGTGTGAGCTGGGTAATTTGTTACTCAGTCTGTATGAGGCAAATGGAGGGAAAGTACCAGAAGGGGACGAAAGATGTTCATATGCGTAGAAATAATCATTATGGTACGGTACAAATACTGCTATGGCTATTTTATCTGAAGTCTTCGCACACAATATCAAATAGTGGTTTCAGTATCGGTTACCTTGAGTTGTAATGAATCTTGTAGCTATAAATCATTGTGAGGGTTTATAGTTGTGTTAGATCCCCTCTATGTGGAAGAAATTCTATATTTAGACAATGTCTGAAGTTGTGTGCATTCATTAAGGTTAGCAATTTAACCACTTTACTTGAGATACAGATAAGTAGATGCAGTGTATGTTTGCCAGTATTGGGTTGCCCTTGTTTGGGTATCTTATACAAGCTCTGATAGAGACGTGTGTAGCAGGTGCGCTTTAAATGACAAAGCTCTGACTTGAAACCCCAGCCTTATTATTGTGGTTGCGTGGGGATAATCTGATGCGATCACCTCAGTGAGTCTTTGCCAGTGTTCAGAGACCTAAATGGCTTAAATACCTTGTACTATGCCAAAACAATTCACTGGTTTCCTCAGGGATTGTTCTCTCAACATGGCTACATACCCTGCAATAGGAGACTTGGTTTGGCAGGCTTTTTCTGTGCCTGACTTTTATCAGTGAGACCTACTTTTTCTTTGTATTTAACCATTATGTTAAATGTCTGCAACATGTGTCAGCACAGTTAAAATGGTTAGAATGTGACAGCTAACAACCTCCAGGGAGCCAGAATACAACTGTACTCTCTGCCCTACAGCATAGGACTAATCTAGGACACTGTGTGTACTGTAGAGTGGCTGGGCTGAAATAAAAGACTCCACAAGGATGGAGGATTTTCAGCACAAAGCCTGACGAGTCATCCATCTTGTCACAGAAGAGAGATTACATGGAGCCGGGCCTTAGATACAGCTGTAGTGTCTGAAGACAATGCGCTGAACCAGCTTTTTACCCCTATAGAAGGAATAAATTATCAAGTGGCTGGCGAACAGAATAGCCTGCTTTATTCTTAGAAGAATAGCGAAAAGCTGGAGCGCTGCTTTGGTTTGGAGAAGGGGAAATAAGGGAGTACGAGGTGTTAAGCAGTTGCCAAATCGAGCAAATAAAAACCTGGCCAGTCCTCTTCTCCTTTTGTCCTGATTTTAAAATGCTCTCATTTAATTAATTCTAACTGGGCCTGGTCAACATTGGTTTACTTCAAGACATAAACTTCTAAAAGCTGAACCCTCCTTTTTTAGACTTTGTAATTTTCTCCCTAGACAAAAAAGGAGTGACCTGAAAACTATTAGATTTCCATTTCTTTTGTTTTTAAAGATTAATTGAATTTGTTCTGGTTCCTGTTGTTTATTAACACCGGGGAATGTGCTAGAAAGTCATTTCATTTTTTATTACCTATCAATATATTTACTTCTATATAATGTCATCAATAAATTACTTTTCTAAACATAGTAAAATATGCATGTGCCTGCTAGATTTGCTTCTCTAACCAGCCAAAATAACATGGTAATCTATTGAGCAGCTCGTACAATTTTAACATGCAGCCATTTGCAGGTGTTTTAGATAGATCCAGTGAAGTTTTAAACCACTCAGACATTTTATGTCTTAATTTAACAAATCCCCTCATGCTTTATAGTTACCGATAAAATTCATCATGTGTATCCACGCAGCACCAACTCATTGCTTCTTCTTCTCTCTGTCAGGTCGGTGAATGGCGTTTACAGAATCGGTCTCTTTGCTCTGAAGGAGATCCCTGACGGCACTGAGCTCACCTATGATTACAACTTCCATTCCTTCAATACAGAAGAGCAGGTAAAACACCAGCGACCATCTTTGAGCAGCTAATAGAACAACACTTTTCATATTTCATTGCAGTACTCATTACAACTCTTTTTTTTGGGCATTCTACAGCAAGTGTGTGAGTGTGGCTCAGAGAGCTGTCGGGGCATCATCGGAGGGAAGAGCCAGCGAATCAACGGCCTGCCCCCGAAGGCGGGAGGGACGCGGCGGCTGGGCCGACTCAAGGAGAAGAGGAAGTCCAAACACCAGCTCAAAAAACGAGTGAGTGATCAATGTCAATAAAAATACTGAGAATGTGTGTTAATTACTTCTAATAGAGATTAGCAAAGACAACTTCATTTGTATTTCTAGAGAAAACATGTTTTTTTCTTTTTACCTACATGATAAAATGCTATAATGCTGTGCTTAGACTTGTCTTTAATTGAAACTATATCCTTTTGTTATGGTGCTGAAGCTGAAGCTTGATAAAAGTGTTGCAGTGTTTAAAAAAAAAAAAAAAATCAGGTGCAGTGTCGATGTAGGGCATGGATGTGTGTGTGGGTCTCAGAGGTGCTCTTGGGGAGCCAGGTGTCTAAAAAAAGAAACTCAGTAAAGAAACTTTTGTATTAAGGTTGAAAGTTATGAACAAAAATGTACAGTATCATGGTTATGAGGATGAATCATTCAAGGAAGTTCTCAAATTGTATTGAATTTGAAATAAAACCGGAATTACACACAGCCTCATGAGCTAAGATTGGTCTTCATAAAACTTTTTTTTATCCTCAGGAGGAAGAGTCGAGTGACAGCAGCAAGTTTTACCCTCATCTCATGAAGCCCATGTCCAACAGGGAGCGGTAAGCACATAAACAACACTTTCTGAATGTAACTTTATTATTTTGGTTATATTTGGTATATATTCAGAGTTATGAATTTCACTGAAAGTAGACAATATGCTAACAGATATTTGCATTCTTAATCAGAAATGTAATGCAATCTATGAGAATAAAACAACCATTTGGTTACATTTCATTTATTGTAGTTAGATTGCAACTTCAATAACCAAAATGACTGCTGTTTATACTTCTAGTCTCATTAGTTCCTTAACAGAATGGTTAACGGTGTATTGGTATTAAAGCTCTAAAGTGTGAGGTGTGAGTTGATGCTTGCACTCACAGACAGTGTTCTCACACTTCTGTCCTCTCTCCCCCTCACTCATCAGGAACTTTGTGCTGAAGCACCGAGTGTTTCTCCTGAGGAACTGGGAGAAGATGAGGGAGAAACAGGAGCTGCTGAAGAAAGAGGGCGAGAGAGATAGAGACTCCGGCAGCTTGTCTTTGTATACGCGCTGGGGAGGCGTCATCCGGGACGACGGTAATATTAAGTCAGGTGAGTTAAGTTTAGGGTTGCAGTTGCATCCTTTCATGGAACTGAACCTTAAGCCATATCAAATGTAATAACGAATAAATTAATAACGTTTGTGCCCTGTTTCTAGACGTGTTCCTGACGCAGTTCTCAGCCCTTCAGACGTCTCGCTCGGTACGAACGCGGAGACTGGCCGCCGCTGAGGAGAACACAGAGGTCACACGCACGGCTCGCCTCGCACACATCTTCAAGGAGATTTGTGACATGATCACCAGCTACAAGGGTAAGTGATTAAGGAGAAATATAGAGCATGTGACCACATTGGTGCTTGTGTAAGCATTTGCTGAACAACATCTTTGTCCTTTCCTATAAACTATTCTTATTAGTCTGACCTCTAGACGAATCTGAGGCCTCTAAACCACCCCTTTCAGCGGTTCTAATATATAAATAAAGATATGATCTCCTAAATGCCAATGTTGAAATTGTAAAAAGTGCTTCTGTGTATTGTTTATTTGTTTCAGAAAGACTTGACACTGAAGAAAACAGATTTTCTTTGTGTTTTCTGTTTGCAATTATATGTCTTTCATTCATGCTGCTGCTTGTCTTGGCCAGGTCTTCCTTAAAAAGAGACTCTTAATTTCAAAAGGACTTTACTAGTGGAAAACAAATAATATAAAACATAGTTGAGGAATGTTATCCTTCTTTCTCCCTCAGATTCAGCCGGTCAGACACTTGCTGCTCCGCTGGTGAACCTCCCATCTAGGAAGAGGTAAGTGTGTGTGGACTTTTTCCTTCATAACTGTCTTCCAGACATTAGTGTTACTCTGTTATCCGCTCTGTCAGTTTGTAGCACCCACATAGAGTAACAGTTTTAATCTTTTGCCTCCCATTTCAGCCGTGACAGCCTGTGCTTTGATTCTTGTCCGCTACTGATAGTATCTGTATCAAAACAATAACAGCTCATTATGTCTCTTCGGCTACATGGTACTAATACTGTTAGCGGCCTGTGTCGTTACTGTTTAAGCCACTGTGTGCACAACATTAAACCATGTGTGATAATTTAGCAGGCTTGTTATGATGTCTATAAATAGTATAAATATAAAAACATGACACTGATATGATGGCACAGCCGGCTGCCTATCTCTCTCAGACCAATCCAGTTTTAAATGTTTTTTTGTAAATGAATACAGACTTATCCCTCTTTTTGTTGTGCCATCAGGAACAGCCAGTACTATGAGAAGGTGTCCGACCCTCTGGACCTGAGCACCATCGAGAAGCAAATCCTCACCGGCCATTACAAGACGGTTGAAGCGTTCGACACAGACATGCTCAAAGTGTTCCGCAATGCTGAGGTAGGCGGGTGTACCGACATTATGATCCCCTTCAATGTTTTTCGGTTACATTCATACAGTATGTGCATAGTTTCGTCAGTTGAGCAGTACATGGGAGAAGTACTGAGTATTTAAAGATACATTTGATCAATAAAACTGAACACCAAGTGCTTCATGGTATCTGGCGTCCACAGTGCCTTTGCTTTCCCAATCAGTGACTTTGAGCCATTAAAGCATCAACTCAATAGTTTCTGAACCTTCAAAAACTGTTACCTCAAAGCAGGAATTATTTTACACTTCCAACTGTCTTTCAGGAACTACATTCAGTCCCTGGTTTCTCACTTCAAAGCTCAGGTTTAAATTCCCATGAGAAATGTACAGTAAAAACACCCTGATGCTGAGGGATAAACCCACTGCCATTTGAAAAGGATCTATCAAACTAAACGCTTAATCCATGTTGTGGATCTTCTCTGTCTTCAATCTGTCAGATTGATGTCAACAATCATGAAAAGGATCGGTATTATGATTGCATGAAGGCTGCTGCCGTATCAGTCAATTCATCTCTCAATAACTCTTATCACAAAACCATTTGAGACTCTCGAGTTGATACCAGATTTCTGAGTACAACCGATTTTCAAAAGCCTCATCAAAATGATCGTTCAGTCTGTTAGTGTGCAGCTGTAACACATTATTCCTCCCACTCACTCAGTTCATTTCTTTCTTCCTGTCTCACACACGAACACCTCCCGAGTGGGATATAGCTTCATGACTGCTGATGCTCTGCGCACACGCTGCAGGCCTGTTTGATTTACATCTGTATAGCTGAGCAGTTTAAACAAGTGCCACTTGAAACCTCTCAGAGGAGCTTACTCTTGCAGTCGGAGAAATCTGAAGTGGTTGTCTAAATTAGATTCCCCTTTGGTCCCAAGACCCTGTTTGCCAGATTGAGAAAAGCGTGAGGGGAATGTGGTTTATTGTTGAATTGAAAGCTGTGGCGGGAAGCATTGTCTTTGAAATGTTGGCAGCTGCAAAGACAGTTTTGAATGCATCAGTCTGTGTCAATGACCTTTGTTCTGCGGGAAATTGCTGTAGGCCTGCAGGCGGATCAGCTGAAAGTCTTGTATGAGTGACTGAAAAATAAGGGTTTGATTTTTAGGGTAAAATGTGGATTCTTCTGCCTTTTACATATGATTTATGTCATATCTTTAAGCTGGTAGTGAATGCTTTGTGTCAAAATAAACAGATGTAATCATTATTTCCTGCAAATGTATTGTTTTGCCACAAAAATAAAAGAAAGCAGCTGCATTTATCACTTGTCTCTTTTTCCCCCCATCAGAAATATTACGGGAAGAAGTCCTCTGTGGGCCGGGATGTGTGTCGGCTGCGGAAAGCCTACTTCAGCGCTCGCCATGAAGCCGCCGTGCAGATCGATGAGATCGTGGGCGAGACCGCCAGCGAGGCCGACAGCTCGGACTCGCTGGAGCGTGACCACGGAGGGTCGGGGTCCCACGACAAGGACGACGACATCATCCGCTGCATCTGTGGAATGTACAAGGACGAGGGCCTCATGATCCAGTGTGAAAAGTGCATGGTAAGAAGCGCAAGTGGGTGGGAAATCGTTATTTACACTAGCTGACAGGAAGATGGATTCCCATATCATATCTTTTTGTGTCACCGGCTGATAGGTTACACCTGTTTTCAGTGAGGGCTTTCTCTTGAGACTTCACCTAACTAAGGAGTGCTTTGTCAAATGGATTTTCCAAAGCAGAGTGTGCACTCAGTCCTCCTGTGTGTCTTCTCTGCTATTTCTAGAAAACATGGAGGGTTGCACATATTGATTGAAACTACCACAGTTTCAGATCTGTGTGGACTTACAAATGTTTTTATCTGTGTTAGTAATACAGAATCAGAACACCACTGTTATTCTTGAGTGAGGCACTTTTAACACCAGCTGGGGAGTTATTAATTCAACTATCTATCTTGTGCTTTCCTGTGATCCAACCGTTGTTTCTCTCACTCCAGGTGTGGCAACACTTTGACTGCATGAGGCTGGAGACTGAGGTGGAGCACTACCTGTGTGAGCAGTGTGAACCTCGACCTGTAGACACGGTACGTCTCTCCCCCCTCCAAACAGCCATGATTGCTGTCCCTATCTGGGCCTAAATTATAGAACCTCTTTCATCTGTCCTCACCCATATGCGTTATTGTTGTCACAGGAAGTTCCCATGATACCCCAGCCCAGCTACGCCCAGGCCGGCTCTGTCTACTACATCTGCCTCCTTCGAGATGAACTGCTGCTACATCAAGGTAGAGAAACCAGAAGTCTTGAGCTAACAAATGCCTGGAAAGGTCCATTCTCTGTACTTTTAGAGTCCCATTAAAGGTTTCTGCTGACCTCCAGTCGTTTATGTGCAAGTATACTTCAGGACCGCCTGACATGAGTGTTTATGTGGCCGATTAAATAATGCTTACCACAAGGATCTGGTAAAGTCCGACACATTTCCTTCCATGGTCATAATGTCCAGTTTGGCTAAAACAGCAAATTTGCTCTTTGGCAGGCATTAGGTCATTTTCTCTGTATTGCTAGTTTAAAAAGAAAAGTGCTTAATGACCCATTTTAGTGTACACACTACTCCCATGAAGAATATGAATGGAAGGAAACATCGGCCTCTTGTTATGGCTGATCTCTGTGGCGCACATGCACCACTTGTCAGGCCTTTTAATTGTTTATAGTTGTAGTGTAGTGTTGCAGCAGCCGCTCCACAAATGTCTGAAATTCATCCTGTTTCAGGTGCCCTGTGAAGTTTTCTTGTAAACAACCTACGTGATGTTTACATTGAGTGTTACTCACCCAAATGCCTTGTGTGTATACTTCAGGTCTGACAAACGTGTCTAATGCATTTCATATTTTAAATCCTGCGATGTTAATGTAAATGTTTTCTAGCCCGCAGGGTTTTCTTCCTTTTCTCGCACACTGATGCATTTCTTGGCCCATTTAAGAAACCTGTAGATCATTTGAATAGTTTGAAACCAATGGCAGTCAAGTAATTTAGTCAAGGCAATTCTAAATCATTTTATTATTTCAAAGGTTTTTGTTTAAAGTGGCCATGAATTGCTTCACAGGTTTGAAGTAAATCTGATGTTTTCTAGGTCATTTCTTTGCCGTTCAAACCCTCACATTTGGTAATAGTGTTATTGCACTGAGATGTTATACTCAGCCTATCAGCTGACCTTTGTACCAAGGAGTCAATTTTACTTTTGCAGACAAGTAACCTGTCAGTGTCTTGTGTGCAGGTGACTGTGCGTATCTGATGAGAGACAGCAGACGCACACCTGAGGGACAGCCGGTCAGACAGTCCTACCATCTGTTGTCTCACGTCAACCGAGACAAACTCGACATATTCCGAATCGAGAAACTCTGGAAGAACGAAAAGTAAGTAAATCAGATGTAGTATTCAACGACTATCGTGATATATTGTAGTTACCTTCCAGTGAGAACAGTCAGATACTGGTGGATTATTATTGTGCTTATCAAGTTGTACTACCTCATTTCATTTGTATTTTCTGTTTCTACACACACTCTTAAGGGGTGAGAGGTTTGCCTTTGGCCACCACTACTTCCGACCTCATGAGACGCATCATTCTCCATCACGCCGCTTCTACCAGAACGAGTTATTCCGCATGCCGCTCTACGAGATCGTCCCCCTGGAGTCAGTGGTGGCGACCTGCTGTGTCCTCGATCTCTACACTTACTGCAAAGGTGAGGGGAAACACGTGTGTAAACTCACGCATGAATGGAGTTCTTTCAACAACTACCGCTTAGGTTTCCTTATTGCTCCAGTAAAGCTCTGTGAACTGTAAAAAATGCAGCTGCGCTTATCTGTGCTCGGGTGCAAAGTGTGTGAGTATGGATATGAAGCATGACAGTGCTGGAGGTTAACAATCCCATTATGGCTCACTCAGCTCAGCTTAACTTTATTTATATAGCACCTTTCATACAATCATGCGGTCAAAAGTGCTTCACAGAGCAAACATAGAAATGGTATAAAAAACATTGATTAGGGTTTAAAAACGGACACAAATTAAATCAACAATGCACCTTAGTTAAAAGTTAGGCTATAAAGATTCTTTATAGTCTTTAAAGTTTTACTGTGTGTTTTTTCTTCTTCAATTTTGGTTATTTTAAAGCTGGTCTTCAATTTCATTTGAAGAGGCATTACAAAATAAAGTTTCTTTTGCCCTCCGCTGAAAGGTTTTCTTCAGAAAAAGGAAAAGGGGGGGTCCCTCAGATCCTCAGGCGGGGACTGTTCCAGAGACCACAGTGGCTTAATGCTGAATCCCCATGCCTTTTTGTTTCAAATCTGTGGGACAGGAAGGAGTCCAGCTGCAGAGCGACTTGAGGCTTAACCCTGACAAATGTACAAATATTTTCTAATGACAAACTCGATTCAAGATTCAAGTTTCAAGGGCTTTATAATCATGTGCACAGTAGCTACAGTGTAGTTATAGCAATGAAAATCGTAGGTCCCGAGCTCCTCCAACAATGCAACGTATTATATAAAGGACATAAGACAACAAAATAACCATAATAATAATAATACAAATATGAAGATAAAAATTGTGCAAATGAAACGGCGTACGATACATTTGAATAAAACTGTGCAGTTGAAAGAAACAGAATGTAAGGTTAAATATTGTACAGTGAAATACAATGAAAATGTATTTTAAATAAATGTGGGTTATGGAGGCACTTAAAAGAGCTCAGGCGTTTAGCAGTCTTATTGCCTGTGGAATGAAACTGTCCCTGAGTATGGTGGTTTGACGTAAACTACAACGGTTCCTGGCTAATCCAAAGTGTGTTCCTTCCTACAGGACGGCCGAAGAACGTGAAAGAGCAGGACGTGTACATCTGTGATTACCGCTTGGACAAGTCGGCTCACCTGTTCTACAAAATCCATCGCAACCGCTACCCAGTTTGCACCAAGCCATATGCCTTCAACCACTTCCCCAAGCGGCTGGCGCCCAAGAGGGACTTCTCGGTGAGAGTGGCGGGGTCTGGGCAGGGTGGGCTGCTGGGATCTGTTACTGATTTATAAACACTGAAAGATATTTTAAGAGTGGAGATAACATTACAGCCCGAGGCACAGTTTCCTCCTCACCTCCTCTTGCTCAGTGTTTAGGGCAGGCAGAGGTGGAGCCAACCAGAAACAAATTGGAGAGACTAGAGGTTTTCATATAATCACATCAAAATATATGGGGACTGTTGAGTGTAGGAATGTATATTTTTGTGGCTAATTATTCCAATTCTGAATTGTAATAATAACAGACTTGAGAAGAGGTTATAGCATTACATGCAACTTTCAATACTAACAGCAGTTCATTTACACTGTAAAGCTTTTCAGGGGATTTCCTAAGTTCTGTTTAGTTTTGTTAGTTTTTCCTTCATAGACAACATGCTCTCGATTAGTTCAGGTTTCTCAGGTAATTGTAACAGAGACTTAAAGTGGACCTATCATGCTATATTTGAATAATATAGTGTAGGACCATACCTATATAAGGCATATTTATACTTTTTCTTTTCAAAATACCAAACAGATCATGCATTTTAGCCATGCCTCATTTTGCTTAATTTGACATTTTTTAGCTCTGTTTTTGCAAGGGCTGATTCTGTGAGAACAGCACCATCTACAGGCCTGGCATATGTACTACAGCGTCTCCAGCGCTTTCGAACGGCAATGGCCGTGGCTGTCTCCTCCTGATTGGTGGAGTTGGCCCAATAGCCGTAGCGCCACTGTCCTGACGTCAGGACAGTGTTCAAATCTGGATCAGTTTTTATCAGATCTGTTGCAGCCCCTTTTTTAGAGATTTGGGTATGGAGGAAAATAGAGAGGGTTGTGTTTTCTGACACTTGGTGAGTTCCCTGGAACACCGGGGACACATATTCATGTATAAAAGACGTACAAAAGTGCATTTTGCATGATAGGTCCCCTTTAAATAAAAATGGCCAATACAATGTTTTTAACCTAACCATCTGAAACCAGTCATCTCAATCAAGCCATGATTAATAATTCTTATTCCGACATTTTTGCAGCCTCACTACGTTCCTGACAACTACAAGAGGGCCGGGGGCCGCTCTGCGTGGAAGAGCGAACGACCCAAAGGACCCGGAGGCTGCGAGGACGACGGGTCTTCCTGCGACCGGGGAGAAGACTGCCCCCCCGAGGCTGAGGAGGGGAGAGGGGGGGAGGAGGACGACATGGACCTGAATCCAGAAGATCCTGAAGCTCTTTCAGCCAAGCCCAGGGGAGCGGAACGGCAGGGGGAGGGCGACGAAGATGAAGAAGACGACGACGACGACGATGACGAGGAAGAAGAGGAAGGGCAGGTGTCTGAAGAGCGCAAGGATTTGGAGGACAATTCTGCAGAGAGGATAGGGGAGATGATCGAAATGCCGTCGTCCTCTGCCTCCTCCCCGCTGCACCACCCGGTGCTGGGCAGGAGGGAGGCCCAGAGGGATCGGCTCAATAAAATCCTGCTGGACCTGCTGCACAAAACTCCCAGCAAGAATGGTGAGGAAGCGGGATCAAAGGAGGGGGGTAGGTCAACTGATTATTTAAGGTTCATGTTCAAATAAACTGTCCATGATCGGGAGTGGGGGATGAGGACGAAGCAGCACGGACTTAGCTGTTGTTCATATTTTTGTTAAACTCTTTTCAGTTATCATCTAACAGATGGCCACTTCCGTTTTCCGATCAGCTGCTTCGTCCAAGTCCCATACTCCCATGCAGTGTTTCAGTCTGGTGTGTCTTTGCTTCAATCTGCTGAAAGTGTTTAATTAAAGGCTAACTTGTAACACTCATTCAGGGAGCTCTTGCAAAAACCCAACACACAGAGTGGAAAAACGCAAGGCACTTAGCAACGCAAAAGCAGCGAGTAAAAGCCTGTCACATTTATTGAAAACTATTTCAAAAAGCCCTCTGTTTGATCGGACTCTGATCCTGCAGCAGCCTCACATAAAGCATCTGATAAAGCTTGACAAAGGACATAACAGGTTTCACTTTTAATTTGTGATTTAATAGTAAGAACAACAACAAAAGAACATACCAAGACTTTAAATGACTTTGAACACACCTGTCAAAAGACTTAAGTTGTTTCATTTAGAGGGTAACAAACCTTTTTGGATGCCATTTCTGTCTTCCACTTTTTTTTGCACTTTGAAGCTTAATGCATCAGTAATAGAATCGACACCAATTGCCTACTTTTAGCGTTGCTTTAAAATGTTTTAAATAAAACCATATATGTCAGCTATTTCTGTCTAAGCTCTTAATCCCCTCCCTCTTTTTGTTCTTCCAACAGCCATAGATATCAGTTATCTCCTGGAGGAGGGCGCGGGGCGGCGGATGCGGCGACGGACGCTCGGATTCGGGGATTTCGTGTGCAGAAAATAACATTGCTACGTGCCTGTCAAGCACTCTGCCTTTCACTGTTGTGAGTGAGGGGCAGAACATGGAGAGACAGCGAGAAAGGGAAATGCAGCATTGTTGGTTCGACCATTAAGGACCACAATGCATCCCTGTGGGCGTCCTCCAGTCTACCTCTTCCAAGACTGTCCTCTCAACTCCGAGAGGCCGGGGGGGGTTTGGAGGCGCTGCTGACTCCGTGGCAACTTCAGCTTTTCAAGAGTTCTCAAGGAGCACGAAGAGAGAGCTGACCCAGACTTCTTGCTTATTTAAGTAGTATGATGCAAAACCTGTTTTTTTTAAATATAAACATGGGAGAAACAACCCATGCACTTAAATGCATTGCATATTACAGACTTGGGAAGATGAGTGCCCCTATCAAGCATCAGAAATGAGACAAGTGGTACTGAATAGGGATGAATGGATGGTTTGAGTCAGTGGGGATGTGAATGCTGGAGAATTGTTCCCCCTAGTGGGACCTAGCTGCAATGACAAATTCTACAGATGAGAGAAGATCAGCACCGCGGGGGAGAATGGCATAGGAGAAATGTAAATTGAGCAGTGTGCTCAGATGCTGCTCATGAGAAAGAGAACGAGGGTGGTGAACTGCACTTTTGGTACCATGGATTTTGCAAAGCTCAGTGTAATGTATCTATAATGAAAACACACTAACACTATCACAGTATTGGATGATGCAGTCTGAAAAACAAGCGCGTTCAAAAGTCTATTATCTTTTTCCTGTTATACTGTAGTAACTCATTTAGGAACAGAGGAGAGGTGTGTTTTAGAGCAAAGGGAGGGGGGGAGCATTGAGTGTGCGCTTTTGTCGGTCAAAGTGTCTTGTTGAGGTTTTTAATTTTAATCTTTAATTTTCTCGCGAGGCAGTCAGCTTCACTCTTTTTGAAGTAACATAATTCACCAGCTTAACTAAATCAGGCGTTTCGGGGAGACACCGGCTTCAACTGTAACGCCTTACACAGCCGTGCTCTCCGACTGCCTTGTGTGCGAGTGTGTGCGTGCGTACACACTTACTGTGTGTCTGTAATCTGCCAGATTTCTTGAAGATATACCTTTTTAAAAACAAAAGAAAAAAAAATAAGGGCTCGATGGCAATTAACAGTTTTAAGAAAACTATGGAAAACAATACTTAACATAAAATGTATCGTGATGGTCATATTTTCTTATATTCTGTAAGACGGGTGGGGCGGTGTATAATGTATATTGGGAGGGGAAGGGACTTAAGATCTTTTTTTGTCTTTAATAGACTATGTTCCTTGTTGCCATGGAGAATGTTTAAAAAAAGAAATTGTGATATTTGATGAGATTTCTTTTCCCCCCCCTAATGCCTCTGCTAGAAAGGGACAACCTGCAATGTCCCAGTGCGGTTAACTGACAGAAGAGAGGACATGAGACACAGAGGGGAGGGGGGGGGGGGGGGGGGGGGGGAACAGGAAGCTGTACAGTGCCAAGTTCTGTAAATATACACACTTTACATTGAAGAGTGTCTCCAAAAGCAATATCTTGAAAAATGGATTTTGTTTATTATTGTACTGTACAGGACACAGCCCTAAATGTATTATGATTATTATATTAATGATAATATTGTACTTTCTTCCGTTTGTATTACTATAATGAAGACACTTAAGCTTGGAGGAAAATGATTTTTTTAATGTCCAGAAACCTCACAGTAACTGTCCTGACGACTAAAAAGAGGAAGCTGACTTTTCGTTGCCTATAAATGAAATTCAACTATGTACTGCATGAGCGGGAAGAATGTCATCGGACACAGAAGGCATCGGGACGGGACAGTGAATCAGCAAAGACACCTTTGTCACTGAATATTGTTAATAATATTACTTTTTAAGGAGAGCGTACTCCTTGTATTTTGCTGCAAAGTGTTGAACACTAAAAAAACAAACCAACATAAAAATGTTATGATATTTTTAAAACGGTGACGGAAACAAAAGTAAAGCTGTCAGCCCAATATCATGTTATTATTTTTTGTTTTACTTTCAAATAGGAAATGGTTCCGTTTTGTGATAGCGGTCATGTATGATGCTTGTTCTTGTATTTGTGCGTTTTGTGTGATTTGTTTAGTTATTTTTAGACAATCACAAAATAAGATGCAAGCATTGTAAATGGCAGACTGGCGGACATTTTGTGATGTGTACAGTTTGTCAAAAAACTTCTTCCACTCGTTTAAAAGTTTGTAATTATGATTCTTAAGTCATGAAAAATGCTGTTGGTTTTTACTTTTGTTTTATATTTGTTTTTGTTTTTTTGTTTGTTTTTTTAATAAAAAGCACTACATTATTGTGAACATACTTTATGTTGTCTTTGCTCATATATTCCTTATTTATTATGGCTATAGGAATCACTCAAACTAAATTATTGTTTTCAACATTGTTCAAACAAGTAATTTACAAAAGTTGAGATGTTAAAAGTAGTACAAATGTTATATTAAAATAAATCAAATAAGTCATTCAAAACAGTAGTATGTTGAGAAAAAAAATGTTAATCGGGAAATACAAAACTAGATTTAATAATCTTCAGTGTTTTGTTTATAACTGATGTGATATTGAGAAGAAATGTACTATAATTGTATCCTTAAATTAGGTTTTAATAGAATTAATGACATGCAATGTATCTTATTTAAAGGATAAAGACAATAAGCCTTGCCAAAAGACTGGGCTCTGCTAAATGAAACAAACAATAGAAAAGTATTAATCATAATATATTATTTCGACTGCAGTCAAAAGTATTTTATACAGATTAGATTAGTCTCTTGGCTGATGGACCAGTTGACTCTCTCACTGTTATGGTACCTAAATGTATATTATAAACTCTCTTCATATTACCGTAGTAAGACGACGTTAGAGATAAATAGAGGACATCCATGATGAATTTGTTCTAAATACGAACGCTTAGAAAAAGCTCTAATACCTCGCTTTAAATCTCGCGAGATATCCAACAGGTCGAGTTGGTTACCGTGGTAACGCCAATGACGCCCAGGGTTTCTTTAGCTAGCTGATAGCAGTACAGCGACGTTATCTGACGATTTAACTATATTCTGACATTAAAACACAGCAATGTCGAGAAAGAGACAAAAAGAGAAACCAGACAAGGCCAATGCTGAGGACGAGAAAAATACAGGTTAGAACAGCTTTCATCAACGTTTCCAGCTCCTTCACTGTCAATGATGAGGCAACTCTTGAATATTATGAATCTGTACATTAAAAGACCTACGTTTTTAATGATGATATCATCATAGATAGTATAGTACTATAATGTGTATACATTTGTAATTTCATTAGGCTACCTATTATATTTAACCTAAAGTTTGGGATTTCATTTTGACAGGAAGCCTATTAAATAAACAGCTTTTACAGAAACTTTCAGAAGAAACATTTCAGTTTTCACTGGACAGGCAATATGAAAAACTGTGATCTGAAAAGGAACTAAAACTGAAAATACAGTAAATTAAAAAAAAATATGCATGTTAAGGTCCAGAATTTAAAGTTTCTTATGTAGCCTACTAACAAAAGTGTGAGCAGCAGAATTGACTCCTGCAGTATCAAAAGGCAAAGGCTACTATAATGAAACGTTTGCTGAATCTTATTATAAGGCACGCTCTTAATCACAAGCATTTTATATCTGCTGAGGTAACAAAGTGCTTAATTAAAAATGAGAAAGCGATATAAACTATGGACTTTCTGTTGTTTTTAGGTGCAACTCCAATTGAAAAACTGCCTGCTCAGACCTTTGGTAAGTATCAGACTGTTTTATTAACTGGTTGAGAGTTGTGTGGTCAGTGCTTTAAACCTTCTCACCCATAGATGAATATCAGTGCTCGGGCCATGTGGAGGTGGACTTCCATTGGCTTTGTACTCTTCTGGACATGAAGGATATCCCAGCTGTCAGCATGAAGCCCCCATCCTCCCCTACTGAAACTGAAGGAGGGGACAAAGGTAAACCTGATCTAAACGCCTGGCAAATGCATACTAATACTACTATCGTGTTGTACCTTGCATATATCAAGTGTTAATATTTCCTTTCAATTGCAGGAATGTTTGATCACACTTGTTAATGTCTTTAACAAATGTGAATCGATGTTATTTAAATCAACAAATATTACTCTGTATTAATTAAAAGCAGTATTACTGAACAGGCCTAACAGGCACAGGCACATGGGCCCCAACATGTTTTGGATCCCTTGCTTTCACCTGACATACTATGTCACTAAAACTGAGACTTAAAAGAACCACAAAGGAACATAAAACTGCTGGACAGGGAAACAAACAGACTATTCAAGGGACAACACAACCACAAGAGACACAAAACAATGAGACTCAAAATGACTGCAAAGGGACCCAGAAAAGGAGACTCACAATTCAGACTAAGAGTAAAAAACAAAGAGAAAAATAGAAACAAAAATGTCCATAACCTCTTGCATGTCTGTGCCCAAGGGACCATTGTTTCAAAGTCCGTCAATGTTTCTCGTTGACTGTTCTTTGAACATGATCTAAGTTTTGAACAGACCCTTAAATTAGCAATCAAGAAATACCACCCATAGATAATCTAAAGATGTAGTTACACTGGAAAAAACACTTCACTGATCATTATGGGATGTCAAAATGAACAGCTTCAGCTCACTAGTTAAATGTCAACATTAAATTAAATATTCTCTTCAGAGGACAGTCAGTTGGAGTCCAATGCTGAACCGTGCTGGTCCAAGCCGTGCCTCCAGGTGGAGCTGGAGGAGGAAGACCCCCTCAGTGCCAAGTACCTGAAGGTTTCTGGTAAGAATGAGATCGAATCTTAGATTTGCATTTTAGTTAATTAATATATTGTATATCCTTTCCTTTTTCTTAACTTTCACCTTCTTTTTCTCCACATTTAACTTCCTTTATTTATTTTATAATATTATCATTTTTTATTATGTATCATAGCTTTTTTAAAAACAATCTCTAATACAGTACAAATATAATAATAATAACTTATTTATGTTCCATTATATACTGCTTAATTTTGGAGAACACACAATAATCTGTGTTTAATACACACAGGGTGGAAGGTGGATGAGCGTATTGCCAGAGTGCTACAGAAGATGCTCCTCTCCCTGAGCAAGCTGCAGAGCCTTCAGTGAGTAATGAGCGCACTCTTAATACAGGGAGCAGGGTTACAGCTGTCACTGTTTTTGTTTGTGTAATCTTGTCCTCTGTGTGGCAGCTTTTGGCAGGCGGGGCTGACAGATCCAATGGTAATCTCTCTCGTGAACACAATATCACTGTGCTCCAACCTCAGGTGAGCGGATTCTGCTGTCAGTCACTCTGTGGGACTTCTGTAGAGAGTTATGTTGTAGAGCTGCAGAGAAAAGGACAACACAGTATGTTTAACATTACCAGTCAGACACTGAGGGTTACTGACACTTCCTGTTTCAAATTAGGGATGTGACACTGGAGGGAAACCATCTTCCAGAGCAGAGCTACCACCTTCTCCTCTGTGAAGACAGTGTGTGAGTTACCAAGCAGATACATATGAAGGCATGCACTGATCTGACACTTTCAATCCTGAATCCCATACCAAATACCGACTATTGATGCAATCCTAGTGTTTCATCATTCATTATTATTTCATCGCCTCACTGTGTGGAAGATTCTTTTATGTTCAAGGCAACACCAGGCTTGGCTCAAACATTGCCTTTATAACACAATGTAACACATATAAAGATGGATATGGATGAAGTGAATTGTTATTTATTATTAAAATGATAAATGATGTACCAACAACCTGGTAAAAATATATTTAAAATCAACAGAAATTCCATTAAAAGTCTAAACCTTTTAAATTAAGCTCCTTCAGCTATGCGGTCGATCAATGTGCTGATTACTTGCTATGCCACCTTTGCTCACTGTACATTGTACACTGTACATTTCCCCGCTGCGGGACTAATTATATAATATTGATTCTGATACACATGTTATCAGACCCTTTTATAACCCGCTATTGATCCCGCTATTAAGGTAGATATCGGCATTATACTATATATACTATGTATTAGTATTGGATCGATGCATCCCTCACATTGTAGTTCGGAACATTGCCAGAAAAACGTATATCTGCATTTACAAACACAAATAGTACCACCAACATGCCTGGTCTCATGTCGTGTGTTTCTTTGGTCCAGCCTCACCCACTTGTCCCTGAGAAATAACCGGATAGGAGATGAGGGCGCTCGTCTGATTGGGTCGGCTCTCTCAACAACCAGATCTGCTAACAAGAACCTTGTGTCACTCAACCTGGCCTTCAATGCTATAGGGGATGCAGGCGCTACACATATCGCACAGGTATAAACCAGACATTACTTCATATTTAACCAGTTCCTTCATGATGGCTGAGGTGTTGTCTTCCTGTTTGTCTCTCAGGGCCTGCGGTTGAATCGAGCTTTGTTGGTTCTCTCACTGTCCAACAATCAGATTGGAGACTCAGGAGCGGCACATCTGGCAGAGGTATCCATTTACATTTTGGATCTTAACCTGGGACATAACACGTTAATTCAGTGGTGAAGTTGTTTTCAAATTAATAATGTCATTTCATAAACTGGCACTCCTTAACCACTTGTTTTCAGATACTGGTCGAGTTCCCTCTCACTCATGCAGAAGTTGTGGATAGGAGAAAGATGCTTCTGGAGAGAACTGTAAGTGAAGAAATGTCTAACATTAATGCCAAAAACATAAAATAAATGTTAAGTATCAAAGTGTCCTGTAAAGATAAGTAAGGACTGACAAACATTACTCATCATGTTCTTGTTTCAAATGTTTTTAAAAGGTTCTCACAAGCATAGAATTGCAAGTTCATTAAAAACAAACATACATTGAAGTTTATTTTTGCAGTCATCTTTAAGGGTTGATGGTGAGCAGCCTGCAGACCAACTTCCCTTAGTAGCCAGCAGCAGTTCAATGAGCAAAGGCAAAAAAAAGGTAACACGCCAATAGACTGTGTATAACAGACTGCAAAAAGTAACACATGGTGCAACTAATATCCATACAATGTGACTAGTAATCTTGAGATCTTTTAACTTGCAGGAAGCATCCAACAAAGAGAACCCAAAGTCTAACAAGAAATGTAACGGCCTCCGTCTCAGATAATCAAAAACGTATTTTATTTTCCTGACGGCCTTTATCTTTTCACTGCTGTCTTTAAATCTCTCCCAGCTTCTGATGTGAAGGAGTCTCAAAGTAAAGGTGCCAAGCAGAGTGGCAAAGAGAAGCAACTCGCTGCACAGGAGGTACCAGAGACATGCTTTCTGAATCTGCGTACAAGCTACCATGAGGATATACACACAAACAGTAGTTTTTAAAATTCAGTGTTATTGTTTTTATTTTTTCCCTGCAGGATAAATCAAATACTGCCCTGAATGAGGTTTGGCATAATTTTCTGTTAAGCTAACAATGTGTTGTCATGCACTTGTTAACTCCTGTCTCTCTCCTCCAGCAGCAGGTAGAGTGTGAGGAGGTGGAGAACCCCCTGCTGGATCAGTCGGTGCAGCACAGAGACGGGGAGATCATTCTGCCTGGAAACACCACTCTCTCCTCCCTGAACCTGGCAGGTCAGTCACTGTGGAGCAACATTTACATCAAAGATACCAGAAGAGGGGGAGTTTCAAATGTGTCTTTTACAAAAACTCTTTTATAGTTTTGTTTGAAGGTCATTTTTAAAAGCGCATCACATTGGGGCATTCACAATATCAAAAAATGTACAGTGTCAAAATAATTCACTATAGGCCTACTGTATAGCAAGAATATTATAGCAATATGTATATAATATATAATATATATATATATATATATACATCTCAAAACAATTGTAAAAAATGCATTTTAACTTTGTTTAGTATGCCTTTTGTCTCTTTTTGGCAAATGATTGTGTCTGTATCAATAACTGTACACAGTTGTATGGAAGCATACAAAGACAATAGCAACAATAACCTTACAATTAAAACCAAGCCATTAACACAGACATTAACAGACATTTTTTAAGAGGCGCTGGATTATTTTGACTATTTTATCATTTTTGTAATAATAACATGATATTAACATTTTATCTAATAAAAATCACCGTTTAATATCCCCCTATTATATATAATATCCCCCTATTATATATGATATTTTGCCTTCTTTATTGTACATTTTTAAAGAAATAATGTTAGCAAAGGTATCGTACTTGCTAGTCGCTAAATGGCAGCTACTTCTGTGGGGCTCTGAGGAAAATTAATTATGAAAAGTAACAATGAGATTTTAATAAAATGTCACGGTGTGTGTGTGTGTGTGTGTGTGTGTCTGTGTGTGTTTGTAGGAAACAGAATTACAGAGAAATCGCTGCATCTATTCCTGAAATCTTTAGAGAAGCACGGTGAGGGAGGAGGCCTACTGCGTCTCTGTCTGCAGGTGAGACTCAAGCCAATAGTGTGTGTGTGTGTGTGTGTGTGTGTGTGTGTGTGTGTGTGTGCGTGCATCTAAGCGGTTAAGGCATTTGAGGTAGGATATGTATTTATAACTCCTGTACTTACATTTGTGTACTTTGAGTTGGTTTAACATGCCTAGAAATCAGTGTTGTAATGTGAATGATAATTCTGTGATCTGTTTTTTTCACAACACAATTGTTGTAATTTAACAAAAATACATAATTGTTTTTGTACCCGAACGAGTGCCTTGTTTTATGGTCCTTCTATTGAAGAATAATAATATAGTGTGCTTGATTCTTTCAATAGACAACATATTAGCTTTTTCTCTCGGTGTGTCAATGACTTGCATTTAATACACAACCACCACCATGCTCTATGGAATAGACAGTGTTTTTTGAAGCGATTTTGTATAATGATTTCTGATCCGTCTTTCAGAGAAACCGCTTCCCAGCAGATTGTGAGTGTTATGTGAAGATAAAAGAACTGATGACATTCACAGCATAACACAGCTCTGAGCAGACAGAAGAGGAGGAACAGTGTGCATTCTCATCCAACATACCTTTATATACACTCTTTATTTGCTAAATAACAATAAAAACACTGTGTCCTCTGCTGTGAGGTGAACAAATGGATGTAATAACAGTAGCAATCTTGCAGAACATTAAAATCCAGATGCTTTGCAGAGGACTCTAATCAACACCCTGTTTACAGACCAGTTTTATTGCTTTGTTTTGCTCACACTCAAATGTACACCAAGGACAAAAACTGAGAACAGCAGAATATCAAGTACTTCAATTAAATAAGTATTGCTTTTATATCTCACAGTTATCAGCCTGCGTTACAACACTTGCTGATTTATCTACCCCAGACTGTCCCAATTTATTTTAAATGTGGCTGGTGTTTTAAGGGTGTTGGTGTCAAAGTTACTGTCATTTCCATATGAAACTTGCTTTTTGTGTTTTTACGGGGTTTCACGGCTGAGCTGCAGTAAAGAAACTGCAAAACACAGGCAATTTCATACTAATAAGACCATGAATTGAGAAGAGAGAACATTTACTACAGGCTGCTGAGAGCCCTAAATTTGAATAGTAGAGATATATATTTTTCATAGAACTATTAATACCATCCCCCATATTTTACATTAGAGTTAATCTATGAAGGGATAGTTAAATGACCTGCACAAATAAATACATTGAACCAGAACTTTAGATACACATATAGGCTTGTTGGTATATTGTATATTGTAAAGAGGTGTTGAAACCCCCAGAACCTAGTGTGGTTATTCTGTTAAATATCTGATACCTACAAAAATGTTTGTCCGCTGCCTGGGGCCCGGAAGTGCCACCAGGGGGCCCTCAAAGAAAAAATACATTGTTACATGAGGTATGTTTATTGTGTGTTTTAATAAAAGTGCTTTAACACCAGTGGTGGATGAAGTAAATACATAAAGACACAGTTACAACTTATGAATGTAGTGAAGTAAAAATGATACAGTAGCTTAAATGTAAATACTCTAATAGAGTCAATAACTTTAAAATTGTACTTATTTACCTGTGACTTCTTATACCCCCTTTTTTTTTTTTTTTACAAATAAAATGTATGTTAAAGTTTCAAATTTGCTCCTACAGATATGTTTGTTATATTCGTAATTATTGTTTTATGTTTCAAAGTGTTAAATAATTATTTTCAATGCGATTTTTGGGATTTTCATGATCTAGTTAGGTGCTTTTTAAGTCCTGTGGGGGGTCACAAATGGATAATATATTGATTTCAAACCATGTGAGTGGGCTGCAGCATAAATTATTTTTGAAAGTGTAATGCATAAGAATCAGTTGATTGTTACTATGAATGATCTGGACATGCAGAAGAGGCTAAAATGATCCCAAAACATTGTCAACATTCATTTTCCATGCCTCTCTCCTTTCCATAACCGGTACTCTCTTCCATCTTCTTTAGTCTCTCTGTCTTCTTCCTGTTCATTACTCTCTCTGTCCTCTACTCTTTCTCTTTGTTCAATCTATCCCTCGTTGTTCACTTTCTGCTCCTCCTCACTTGTCGCTCCTGCTAGTGAATTAAAAGCAATTCAGCAATTTAGTTCATTTCACTTGTTTGCATTCTTTTTAAAATAAAAATCTGTTTTGTTTGATTCTCAAAAGAGAACAAAGATGTAAGCAAATTGTGTTTTATACAATTGTATGTTATTATGACATCATAACTGCAATAGATTGCAGATTGTTGTTAAAAGTATGCCTATTGTCTATATTGTAAATGAAGATAGATAGATAGATAGATAGATAGATGGATAGATAAATAGATAGATAGATAGATGGATAGATAAATAGATAGATACATAGATAAATAGATAGATAGATAGATAGATGGGGTTATTAAGCCTACATTATTTTGTGTGACTGTACCTGCAGTTCCTCCCTTACTTCCATCACTTTCTCTCTCTCTTTCTCTCTGCCTGTCCTGTCTCTTCCTTACCAAAGCTGAGCTTCGACTGACGTAGTCTTTTCATTATATCTGAGTCAGTGTAAAAAGAAAACAATACAATGTTATATCTTCAATGTTTTACTCAAATTGAAATGAAAGAAAAGCATTACAACGTTTGTTAAAAGGTAATCCTTCTGACATTGGATGAATGTAATTAACTTTAGCTCTCTAGCTAGTTTATTCACGCAATTTAAACCAAAGTAGCCTATAGCTGCAATATAAGTTAGTGTGCATGTTGTCGGACGTCCACTGACTAACGTAGTGCGTTCACACTGGATCTGCTGCTTCATATGATGTCCTGTGAGGAACAGAAACACAAGCAGCCCACTGGACTCACATCTCTAGACACCTCATCACTCCTCCGCTGCGCCGATACAAGTCCGGGCTGCGGTGGTTTGTTGATACATGTCTTCTTCTTCTGTTTGCTTTAATCGAGGCTACATAGTTATGCAGCGCCCCCCATTGTCAGTAAATGGAAGTACTACAAAGAACCCCGTTTAGTGCCGTTATTTCACAAGTTTTTTTATACGCAGCTCGGAAATAATTACCGAGGTCCGGACCTCGGTGACCTCAATGGTGGATACGGCCCTGAATGTAATACATTGTATAGATAAATGTATACATATCTACATTGAATGTAGTATACGAATAGGAGTGAACCATGGATGTATAATGAACAGGTTGGAGTTTGGACCTCACCAATATGGCCGCTTCGTGCTCAGAACTTCGTCACATCCGGCTTCTGCTCAAAGTGAACCATCGATATCAACCCGTCGCTTCCGGTAATGCCTCCTTTTCGGCAGCGGCTATTTCCTCGCCAACATGCCAGTGAGTATCCACAGGGCGGTGTATAATGACATTTATACCATTTAATGGAGTGTTGGAGAGCAACCACACGGCTCAATGTTAACGTAAAGAGTTAGCGATTTGACTAGTGTCGATTCCAGAGGGTTTCGTTGAATTTTGATCCCAGAATAACTCAAATACTTATCCACATTTGAGCGCATTGCGAGCGCATTGCGAAACAAGATGGCTGCGCACACATCGCAAACATGGAGCCAGTTCTACAGAGGGTCTGAGCGGGCGTATAACCCTGACAGATTAACACTAACAGCCGCAATATCCTCCCAATTTGTTGTTAGTGTGTTGACTTAATAAATGTAACATTGATCCTACGTTTATGGAGGAAACCCCGCGATTTATGTGAATACGTAGCCTATAGTAATCCAAGTAATGTAGGCCAGCCGAGCAGCCTAACTAGCTTAGCCTGCTTAGCAGCACAAAACACCGCTAACGTTAAAGTTATCAGGTGTTATTTCAGGAAAGGAGTATATTTAAATGCAAAGTGTTTATCTTTTCAGCTGAACAATTATTTTATCTACAATAATAATTTACATTGACAAACCATTAACCTTCGTTCATGTCCCCCTCTTTCTTATCAATTTAGCTCGCAAAAGACTTGTTGCATCCATCCCCTGAGGAGGAGAAGAGGACGCACAAGAAGAAGCGTCTTGTACAGAGTCCCAACTCTTACTTCATGGATGTGAAATGTCCAGGTACAGTTTTCTCCATGCAGATTCACCTCAGCAGACTAGCACCACTTCTGCATTGTCAATATGTGTCAACATGCCTTTGTTTTGAAGTAAAATACCTGTCTGTTTTCTTCCAGGTTGCTACAAGATCACGACTGTGTTCAGCCACGCTCAGACAGTCGTGCTGTGTGTTGGTTGCTCCACAGTCCTGTGTCAGCCCACTGGAGGCAAAGCCCGTCTCACAGAGGGTCAGTACTTGCAATATTAACATCCTACACAATAATATTTACCTGCTGAATGTAACACTATTAAATTCAGCCTTTTACAGTTGTAGGATAACATCCAAAATTGCAGCATATATTAAATCAAAGCCAGCATAGTCCTCCAGAATAGGAATGCTCTTGTGGATTTATTCTGCCCTTAAGTCAATTAAAGCAATTTGGCTTCCCATTTTTGGGTGTTAATTAAAAAAATATCAGTGTTTTCAAGGAGATGTAAATATGTTTATTTTTGTGCAGAGCAATATCTCATACATTTGTTAGTTTGCTGAAGTACTATATATGTCCTCTAGGAACTCAAAATGTATAATCACCAGCTTGTGCAGTATTCATTTACTGATGTTTTCATGTGGTAGGAGTTATTTACTATTTGATTCAGATGCTGCTACTGTGTGAAGGATGGGCAATCATCAAGTGTTTATTGCTTGTTGCTCATGATGGAAATTGCTATAACTTGTAACTTTTTGAATCGATGATTTATAAATCAGCTGTATGAGTGGCAACATTTCTAACAGTTTTGAGGTTGACATTTGGCTGACTCTTCAGGCCCTGAATAGGGGATATTGATATGAATTGTGCTTTTATTGGACACATTTTGAAGCTTCTTTGACGCACTGCCAAGTGACTGGACTTCCCTTACCGTGGTCTTCCAATCTCATTCCAGTGCCAGATCAACCTCGGTTTGCAGAAGGGCTGAGCTAGACCACTGGCTCCCTCCTTTCGAAGGCTGAGAACACATAGCGACCTATTAGCTACTGCAGTGTTGGGCTAACAGATATATTCTATAATATATATATATATCAAAGATGACTCAAATGTTTTAATAATTAAAAAGCCAAAAATATTATCAGATTATTAAAAGCAGAAAATCTCTTTGAAACTGGAAACTGCTTTTTTCCCCCTGCATTCTTGACAATTATTCGGTTATCAAAATGGCTGTGAATATTTGTTTCCATCAATGGACTAATTGCAGTCTACATCAAGGTATAAAGATAAATCTAACAGATACGTTTCAAAAATGTTTGGCGGTTAACTTGATGAATTCATCCTCAGCTCTAGACTGTTGTCAGTCCTGCTGTCAAAGCTTCCTCTTTGAGCTGGTGTAGCATCAGCCAGTGTCGCTCCTCACTGGGGAGTGGGACGACCTTATCAGTCACATGATGTGAAAACGATGACTCTGTGTTATTCCTGTACTGTACAGCTTCTCTTTTGTCTCACCCTCTTTGTCTCCTCTCGCAGGGTGCTCATTCAGGAGGAAGCAGCACTAGCTGCTCTCTGAGCTGAAGGGGAGAGGAGGGGATGGACCGGTTGATATCAGCGCCACTCAACGATCTGATCTGAACCAGACCTGGAGACAGACTGGACAGCAGAGGATTTCCACTGTTCATGTCGAACGATCGTTTTTTGCTGTTACTCCACCCTCCAACCCTGTCTCTCTTAATAAAATATTGTTTTGGCTAAATGAATGGTTTCTGTGGTTTATGAATTGTTTGTGCAAAGTCAGCAGTTTCTTTATGGAAAATAGTTGTTTCTCTTAAATGGCCTCCATGCCATGTGACCCAGTGGCACCAGGTCAATGCACAGTTGCATTACTACACTGACAAGTAGGACACATCCTTTTTTAGAATTTCACTTTTTTTGTATTCACATTATTCCAGTTTTTTTATTTAACATTTTCTTTTCCTTTCTTTTTTTCAAATGACTTCCAAGCACTCTGGTGTTGTGTGGTGAGGAGTGTCCTCCATGTCAAGTAATGTTGCATTGATTTGGAGTCGTGGGTCACATTGCATGGAAGCTATCGGAAAGAACTATTAAAATCAATACACAACGTTTAGTCCTTAAAAAAACACACGTTTATATATTTAATATTTTTGCATATTAAAATATGAACAAGGAGGTAAAGGGGTGGTGCAGAAATGGTCCTAAATCTGAAAATTAATCAGTATTTTACCCCTTCTGGTTACCTTAGTCGAAGGTTGTTTTTTTGTCATTCAAACACATTTTTTATGGTCCCTAAGTGAAGCCCTTTGATAAATTGCGAGGGTGTGAGCAAACCGTCCTGACAACTTGGTAAAATGCAGCTTGATCTGGAGTGATTGTCTGTCAATGTCCAACCTAAAACTAACTTCTAAGAATGGTTTTACTGCTACAGAAACGGTGCTACTTATTTAACTACAATTTTACATACTTCTGTACAAACTCAACTTTGTTATTCACACATATTTGACATCTCATGTAAGAAAAATGTCCCAACATGATCATGTTAGCTGTGGGCCAATAACTCCTCCAGGAGCCTCTTTCTTCCTCCTCATCCCCTCCCCCAGCCTCTAGCTCTCTTCGCTCGCCCCAGCAGTCTCGGTCTCCGTCTTCACCTCCCTCTCCCTGAGCAGGTGGCGGATGGAGGAGTTCTGCGTTGACAGGGTCCTGGACAGGAGCGGCATCAGGCTCCTGAAGCCCTCCCTCAGCTCCTCCACGTTCTTCTCCAGGCTGTGGATGTGTGTGTCCAGCTCCGCCCTGCAGCCCTGCACCTCCTCCAGCACGTCATACATCACTGTTTGCATCTGCATCAGGGTAGATGTCCGCAGTGGTTTCATGTAGGTTCATGTAGAGAAGAGAAAGAAAAGGCATCAGGCGAATAATAGATGCTATTTTGAAAAAGTTCGTCCAGGTTGGGATAGAAGACGATACGTTCACTTGCCTCTCTCACCTTGCTCAGATCCACAAGTGTGTTTCCCTGATCTGCAAGAATCCTCTTCTCTACCTTCACTCGCCGCAGCCTGGACACAAACATATTCAGATTTAGGTGCAATAAATCGTGTCGTTTTCTCATACTGATATTCTGTACAAACTGCTGTTGTATTTGTTGTAAAGTGTCTTTATTGTAAAGTATTTTTATTGTATGTACAGCACTTTGGCTTGACTAAAAATTTTTTTTAAAATGTGCTGTATAAATAAAACTTGATTTGATTTGATAAGAGGACAGTTAAACAATACTTATTTTATAATAAAATTATCTTATTCCAAAGAGTTTTTTACTAGCATCATATCCAGCTAATCATAACATTAGAAATAGCTTAGAAATATTGCTCAAATGTGAAAAATCACTAGAACGAGTATGAGTAAATTGATTTCTGAATAATCGTCAACTCAGATATTAGAAAAACATAATGCAATCACATGTAGTTAATCACCTTTTGAACTATTACTTTTTTTATGGACTGTTACTTTATGGTATAGTATACTATGTTTTTTAATGGCTTTTTAAAAAAACTTTCCTTAGCTTTTCTCTATGATGATGTTATGGCATACTATACCATGACTGTTCTATGAAATGTCTATGGCATACTTAAGTATAACTTTTGAAGAAATGTAATTTTATGTTTATATTATACAAAAACTATACGCTTTTACTTTTCGAAAATATTATACAATGGCTTTCTATGAAATTATTATTAAATACCTTTTCATTCTTTTTACATTAATGACTAATATTTATGACATACTATGACTTTGTTTAATAATCCTCAGTGGGATAATAAAGTGTGACTTTTTTTGCATTAACTTTGTTAAACAAAATACTATACCATAATCTATCTATGACATTTGTATGGCACTTTTATACGTTCTGTTCACCAGAATAAAACTAATGGCATTTCATAATAAAATAAAGGCACCAATGTAATGTATTGATACAAATATATACAAGTTTCTATAATTATTACCAAACATATAGCAATTGAGAGATAAAGTGCAGAGGCAGGTCTCAGAGACAGAGAGAGTCTTACTGGTGGATGGCCAGCAGCAGCTTCCTCTGGTGCATGCGGACTCTGGACTGGTCTCTTTCTCTTGACAGCTTAGTGTGTTTGTAGATAAGCCAAGTCTCTCTCAGCACATTTGCTGCGGCAATTTTTATCTTGTGAAAGGATGTAGAAAATCACTCAGGAGTTATTTTATGTTAATGCACAGGACCTGAAAGTGCTGTTATTTACTGCATATGCTAAACAACACCAACATAACGTCTTTAAATCAGATACCACATTCAAACCTGTTCACCTCACAAGTAAAAAATAAATCTGCCTGTTGGGAGAGATTATTATTCTATTTTTCCACGATGGTTTTAGGCGTTTTGTAATCATTGCCATGCTGTAAACAATTTGTATTGATTCATACTGAAGCAAATTAAACTTATTTCACACCACTCACAGCTTTTTACTTGCTCAAGGGATATTTGGATGTCAATAAAAGGGAAATAAATAGAATATTGTTAACAGTGCACACAAAGTTCTGAATGTTGCAAAATAAGTTAAAATGTGCTATCTGGTGTGCGAAGATAAAACTGCAAACTAAACTTTTACAAGACAACAAAAATGTATGTTGCAGAATCTCACTCACTAGTGGGATTATTTAATTAACATGACAGTAAAACAAAGCTGCACTATTTACCCTCTTGGAGATGTGGGAGTCCATCATGAAGTTGTGGACATGTTTCTCCGCTCTGGTCAGCTCCAGCTTCCTGGCGACCACAGCCACCACCAGCACCGTGCAGCCGGCTCCCTGTGAGCATCACACATTTAATATAATGATGTGTCAGAATCTGCCTTTCACTTATTATAGGAGAAACTGTCCACTCACCATGATCCCAGTGAGGAGGCAGATGCTGCGACCGCAATATGTGTGAGGCACCACGTCTCCATAACCGATGGACAAGAAGGTGACGGAGACCATCCACAGAGCCTCCATGTAGTTGCTGCTCAGGTCCCTGTAGTTGTGGTGTCTTTAGGAATAACAAGGATATTATATCATTAATATTATAAAATCTTCCATGGCTTAATTGAGTCATTTTCTGGTCTTAGATGCTGATTATCTGACTGCTGTAGCTGAATAATCAGTGGCGAGCCGTCAGGGCCCTCTAGGCCCTCTGTGAGGGCCTAAGATATTCTAAAAAATAATATTTAAAAACATTTAAAAAATATATATTTTTTTTAAATATATATTTTTTTAATATTATTTTTGTTATATTTTTCATTAGTTTTACCGAAAAAAAACTTGATTTAATTGTATTTAAAATAACATTTCCAAAGAAATAAATCCTTCGAATCTGCCTGTTCAGTCTCTGTTGAATGTGAAGGGTTACATGAAAGAAGCTCGTCTGGCCCTCTCTGCGATTCACAGAGGGCCCGCTATAGAGTGGCGAAGTCCCTCCCCTTTCCGGTGGACCTCCATGGGACCTTATTTCGGAAAAATTATGTATTGAAGTCAATGGAGAGAGAAAGATTATCTTTCGATCCCGTTTGAATTGTGCCACGAATTACACATATGATGTTTGTCAATTTAAAAGATAATTTTGCAAGTCAAAAAATAAAAAATGTGTCGTAAAACTGTGAAGTAACACATTTGTTTGTGTGAAACGCTCAATGAACTACATCTCTGGTCTCACAGAACAACACACGTCACCAAGGAAAATCCGCGGGAAGATGGCGGAGTGAGAAGTAACAACGTTGCAGGCTCGTAGAAAAAGTTTAGATTTTAGTCCTTGACTGTAAAACTGACAGGCAATAGCTTATTCATGATACACTTTAAGTTATTATAGAAGCTTAAATAGTCACATTTTACTTTAATTCTCCAGTTACCAACACTTTTGACATAAAGTGCCTGCTAGCATGACCGACCACGATTACAACTTAAAAGTTCTCCGTGAGGCGTGTGACGACTCGGATATTGAGGACATGGAAGCGGACAACTCTAAGGGACACAAAATAAATCGGGACCACACACCAACTAAAGGACCGAATCCAAAGAAATCGAAGGTTCACGGCGAAACACAAATGGCAGAGGATAGCAACAGCACCATTCTCCAGGCAATTCAAGTCTTATCCGGAAAAATGGATGAACAGACAGAGCTGTTAAGAAAGTTTGAAAAACGCATTGAAGCAAACACTGAAGCAGCTAAAGAAAATAAGAAAGACATTTCTGCTCTTCAGAAAAAGTTTGATGATCTTCTAAAAGATAACACTTTACTACGTAAGTCTGGCGAGGAGCAAGCCCGCTACAAACGGAGGTGGAATCTGAGGATGAATGGTCTGCCTGAAAAAGAAGGAGAAAACACAAGAGAAGCTGTGATCGGGATACTCACAAGAGTTGTTCCGCTGTCTGTGGAGAAGCTGCGTGACTCAGTGGACACTGTCCATCGGCTGGGTATGAAGGGTAATGCAGCTACTTCCAACAACACACCGCGGTCAATCATCATTCAGTTCGGGATGAGGACTGTTCGTGACGAGATCTGGAAAAAGTCCAAAGATGCGAGAGTCTGCAGCGAGATGCACATTCGTTTCAAAGAGGATTTCTCCAAGGAGGACCGGGAGGCTCGCTCCAAGCTGTGGCCACTGGTTCAAGAAGCCAGGAGAAAGGGGAAGAGAGCCTTTCTGAAGGAAGGCTTCGCGCTGATTGACAACAAAAGAGTGGACCC